ATGACGTCCAACGCCAAACGATACTTTGGCTAACAACTCGACAACGCAGTGCAGCCGCCAAAAACCCAGTGACGTTCATCTCCACTCCCCATAAAAATTACCCAGTGGCTAATGGGGTCAAACCGCTGAGTGGTGGCTATCTGACCCCTCTCAGAGGATGTAATATACACAGCGCTAAACGATGTTCGAATATGCCCATTATTCTGGATGATATACACGTGTAAATATGAGTGGTGTGTGCAGAATTGTGTCATTGCTATTGTTTTTGATTGTACATTGCTTTATGACGTATGTATTTTGTGGCAATTATTATGTTTAAAAATGTCACGGACACACAAGATGAGTGACAAATCTGTTGCGGATAGCAGCAAGGTAAACAACAAGAACATTAATAAGAATAGTCAGAGAAAGGGCTGGATGGCTGAAATGGCGAGAGATGACTGGTGTGGTGTGCGATAAGAGGGTCCCAGTTTGGTTGAAGGGAAAAGTGTGTAGTGTATAGTGTAGTGTATAGTGTAGTGTATAGTGTAGTGTATAGTGTAGTGTATAGTGTAGTATATAGTGTAGTGTATAGTAGTGTATAATGTAGTGTATAGTGTAGTGTATAGTGTAGTGTATAGTGTAGTGTATAGTATAGTATATAGTGTAATGTATAGTGTAGTATATACTGTAGTGTATAGTGTAGTGTATAGTGTAGTATATAGTGTAGTGTAAAGTAGTGTAAAGTAGTGTATAGTGTATTGTGTAGTATATAGTGTAGTGTATAGTGTAGTGTATAGTGTAGTAGCGTATAGTGTAGTGTATAGTGTAGTATATAGTGTAGTGTATAGTGTAGTGTATAGTGTAGTATATAGTGTAGTGTATAGTGTAGTGTATAGTGTAGTATATAGTGTAGTGTATAGTGTAGTGTATAGTGTAGTATATAGTGTAGTGTATTGTGTAGTATATAGTGTAGTGTATAGTGTAGTATATAGTGTAGTATATAGTGTAGTGTATAGTAGTGTATAGTGTAGTGTATACTAGTGTATAGTGTAGTGTATAGTAGTGTATAGTGTAGTGTATAGTGTAGTGTATAGAACAAGACGGTGGTGAGTCCAGTGCTGTTGTATGGGGCCGAGTGCTGGGGCACAAGAAAGAGGGAGGACCAAGCTATGGCAGTCACAGGGATGATGATTTTGCGGTGGATGTTTGGTTTAACAAGGAAGGGCAGGGTGAGAAATTAAGAAGTGAGAGGACGACTCAAGGTGGTAGAATTCACTGAGAAGATGAGAGAGAAAATACTCTGGGTGTGGTTCGGTCATGTGGAGAGACAGCAGGAAAATGATGTGGGTCTGAAGGTGCAAGTGATGCAAGTGGAAGGAAAGAGATGAAGATGAAGGCAGAAGAAGAGGTGGGGGGAGGCGATGTGGTGCGGTCCGACCACGGTGGCCCGAGGATTGGAATAGAGAGATGGTGCCGGACAGGGCAGCGTGGAGAAGGTTGGCAAGGACAGCGGACACAACAAATGAGTGGGACAAACGCGTGGAAGAAGAAGAGTTAGAGAGAGGCAAGTTAGATGTTTTTTTTTGTCTGGACATGTAATGGGAAAACAAGAGACTGCATATAATGTTTTTACTGAGAAAAGTATACGTACCACACAAAAGATGGTAAAGACAGCAAATTACGTACCTAAGCAATTTGAACAATTGGACGCAATTGGGAGGGGTATATAATGCAATGTTCTCGAGCAATATCATGCACAGAAATAAATGGAAGGACATTCATGGGTCGCCGAAGTGTTTGAAAAAGAACATAGAGACAGCTACGTGTTTTCTATATATTATTATTATAATTTTTGCAAGAACACGTGGTGTCATTTTGACATGCAATGGTTGCTGGGAAATCATGGTAACGTTTTTGATGGTGAACGTTTCTTTCTGTGCTTATACGATCACTTGTGTGTGGCCTACACACGCATATCCTGGCGGCTGGTGAAATGCCCCCTCCCACCCCGCAGCTTGAATTGGAAGTCTGTTATTCCTTCTACAACATATTCTACAAACTCTTTGGTTCCTTCGGTAAAGTCGCATAGGTATAAAATAAAATCAATCACGACGTTTCAATCGCGACACGAGCGGTCGTCCTCAGGCGGCAAAATATAATCCAGTAGTGGAACTGCTGAACCAGCGAGAGAGCAGTTACAACAAGATTATATATGTGGCGAAAGCTTCAAATCAAGATATTCTACAAAATAAACAATTGTCTGAAGGGCCTCGACTCGGCGTTCAATAATTCTAACGACCCGCTTTCCCCAACAGGTCGTTAAAAGAAACCGTTCACGCTTTACTTTTTCAAACTTTCAACGCGTGCGCGCACGTTCTCTCGGTTTCACGATGTCTTGAGATCACATTGAGAATAATTAGTTTTGAAATATATGAAAATGTATGAATCCAAAATAGCACTGTGGCGTGTTTAACTCTATCGTCACATCGCAAGCCATTATAATTCACGAGCCCTCGACTAACCATTGCAATTGTAATTTTGAATGACCACTTTGAGACCTGTGCAATATAATGGTGCTTTGCTTAATTCAAGGTACGCATTGACGCTTATCTATTACAAGCTGTTAGAGTGCTGTTTATTGCTGGCCGCTTGATGTTGAATGCTACTTTGTTAATTCATTATAACAAATATATATTCTTGGTTCTTTCCGTAAAGTCACGTAGATAGAAAACTAAAATCTAAATTTAAAGCAAAAAACCCACGACGTTTCGATCGCAACACAAGCGGTCTTCTTATTTTCTCGCAACCTGAAGAAGACCGCTTGTGTTGAGATCAAAACGTCGCGGGTTTTTTGCTTTCAATTTTTATTTCTGTTTTCTATCTACGTGACTTTACCGAAAGAACCAAGAATATGAATTCCTGCAGTCACGAAAGTTTTAAGTCATTATAACCATTTACATTCATGCAGTCCCTTTTTAACTCACTGGACACAGCCAAATTTGTCCAATCCACTTTCCACTGCCAGACGAGAGCCTCCCACGCGCCTTGCGTGGCCGTTAAGGAATACATTTGACCATACTTCACCCACGCTGGTCAATGTGGTTTGGTGAAGGTGGTGGGTGGGGGGTGTGCAGAATAACCGTGGACTTTTTATTGCACTGCCCTCTACTGCCCACAACGTCTACCGCACCCGTCCCTGGAACATCGCGGTGGTTGCTTTTGCAAGCACTGCCCAGGCTCAACCCCTGCTTGGTTTGTTACCACCGGCTGAGATCGGGAACATTTCCCGGTGCTTTGCTCACTTCAGCGATCATCGTTTTACCAACTCCACGAGCCATCACGATCAACCTTAAAGCCACCACGGCGCAATAATAGTACACGATTCCGTTACGACGGTGCATTATTTGTCTTCTCTTCATTGGCGAGATTTGATGACTGATGGCTGTATCCAATCTGTATGTAGGGGTGTTAGAGAGAGAGCCCGTTATGCATGGCAGCTTATGGCAAACAAACACAGTAGGCGGGGCTACGTGAGTGCACGGGGAGGTGCTCTCTACGACGTCCGCGCCAGGCACCCTGGGGGGCTGATTCGGAGTTATGATCCCCCGGGGCCCCACCCCTCAGCGGGGGGTTGGGTATAAAAGGGGATGTATCGGAGGGCTCGGCAGTTATGTTAAGCTAACCAGTGAAGACTGAAGACGTCTTAGCTAGAGCCCTGGACTCCCCTGGTTCGCCGTCCTTATCAGGGCCGAACAGGACCGAGCCAGCGGCGTGGTCCCGAGATCCAGAGCCGGTGCTCTTGTCAGAGCTGGTCTGGGACTCAGGGTACCGGGCCCGACTTACCAGTGTCGGGCCAGATAGCCTCCCCTAGCCCGTTAGAGGAGGACTAGGAGGCAGGCTAGAAGTAGCTAGCGTGTGTATCCCAGCTAGCCGGGTGAGGGGGCCGACACCCCCTCTAGTGTTGTATGCCACAACCGTGCTGTGTATAATAAACCCGTGTGCATCCAACTCCGGCGTCCAAGAGTCGTGAACTCTACTACATGTATTTATACCCATTGCGTGGAAGGGGTGACTCCGAGTGTACGGTACCCAGAGGCAGACCTCAGCAGCGAGCGTCGGTCACTGATGAGTCTGAATGAGGACGAAACTGTTCAAACAGTCGTCTATTACTGCATCGCTGCTGCTGCTGTCAATCGGTCACATTGTTGTGATGGTAGCCTAAGGCAAGGAAGACTATATACTCTATTGCACATGCAGTCCATGTCCCATTTACATGTCCTTGATTGAATCGTATAGTGGATGTGCAAGTGACTGCCTGGAATCCGGCGCGGTGGACGCAGCAGCGAAGGTTGGTGGATCACACACAGAGATGTCGTGAAACTCCTTTCCTGCGAACAGGAGTCATGCCCTGGCTCACCAGGAGAAGGCGGTGCGGCGAAGTTGTGGACTCTTACCACTCCGTCTGTACGGGGTAGAGCAGTGTTCGTCACTAATTTTCAGAGGGGGGCAACTTTCGCCAAAAAGACATTGATCATTCAGTGTTGAGGACCGGCACACCATTTGAAACCATTGGGGGTTTGACAGCAGCACGATGATGATGATCATGATGGGAGGTGTTTTCACTCTTTGTGTATTGTCGGGGGCCGCACGGCAGGGGCCGCGCTATAGGCCACCACGGGCCTTGCAATGAAGACCACTGGGATAGAGTGTTTCGCCCTCGCACTATGATGTTTTTTTTCCTGGGCGCTCTGCTTTCCTTCTCGCGCGTAAGCACTCAATAATTAGCCGACAACACCTTATACATATAGAGGCCCGCAGAGCTTGGGCAATTGTTGGTGGCTTTCCGCTCGCCCGTGGTTCCATCTCACGCCTCCGAGTCATCCTCAGCGAGCGAATACTTTGCAGCGACGCGTTCCAAGTTGAAACTCTTCTTCTTATTATTATTATTACGACAGTGCAAGCGAGACGTAACGAGACGCGGGGTGTTTAATTGGCGGGCGTTATGTTCGTGAACGCAGGGCCCCGCCGTCGCTGTTGGGCTGCAGGGTTGCGTGGGGGGGTGGCCGGGGGGGGGGGTCGAGGACGATGCATCAGCCCCACGCCAGCCACAGCAGCGAGAAGCGGGTGCAGCACGCGCTGTCCAGGTGCTTACAGGGCCTGCACGACCCGCAGAGGACATTCCGTGGTACGCTCACACACACTCACACACGCGCTCACACGCTCACACACACTCACACACACTCACACACGCTCACTCACACTCACTCACACACGCTCACACACACTCACTCACACACGCTTACACACACTCACACACGCACTCACACACCTCACACACGCGCTCACACACACTCACACGCGCACTCACAGACACTCACACACGCTTACACACACACTCACACACGCACACACACTCACACGCGCACTCACACACACTCACACACGCGCTCACACACACTCACACACACTCACACGCGCTCACACACACTCACACATGCGCTCACACACACTCACACACACTCACACACCTTCACACACACTCACACGCGCACTCACAAACACACTCACACACTCACACGCTTACACACACTCACACACGCTCACTCACACACGCACTCACATACACACACACGCTCACACACACTCACACACGCTCACACACCACACACACTCACACACTCGCTCACACACACTCACACGCTCACACACGTTCGCTCACACACACTCACACACACTCACACACGCTCATACACTCACACACGCTCACACATACAACACACTCACACGCTCACACACGTTCTCTCACACTCACTCACACACTCACACACGCTCACTCACACACACACACGCTCACACACACTCACACACGCTCACACACACTCACACACGCACTCACAGACACACTCACACACTCGCTCACACACACTCACACACGCACTCATATACACACTCACACACTCGCTCACACACACTCACACACGCACTCACATACACACTCACACACTCGCTCACACACACTCACACACACTCACAACACACTCACACACGTTCGCTCACACACACTCACACACGCTCATACACTCACACACGCTCACACATACTCACAACACACTCACACGCTCACACACGTTCTCTCACACTCACACACACTCACACACGCTCACTCACACACACACGCTCACACACACTCACACACGCTCACACACGCACACAACACACTCACACACGCTCACACTCACAACACACTCACACGCTCACATACGTTCTCACACACGCACACGTTCACACACACTCACACACGCTCACACACACTCACACACGCACTCACAGACACACTAACACACTCGCTCACACACACTCACACACGCTCACACACACACACTCACACCACGCTCACACATGTGTAGGGGTGTTAAAGAGAGGGCCCGTTATGCATGGCAGCCTATGGAAAACAAACACAGTGGGCGGGGCTACGTAAGTGCACGAGCAAGTGCCCTCTACGACGTCCGAGCCAGACACCCTGGGGGGGGGCTGGTTCGAACGTTATGATCCCCCGGGGCCCCACCCCTCAGGGAGGGGTTGGGTATAAAAGGGGATGTTTCAAAGGGCTCGGCAGTTATGTTTAAGCTAAGGGAAGAAGACTGAAGACGTCTTAGATAGAGCCCTGGACTCCCCTAGTTCGATGTCCTTTTCAGGGCCGGACAGGACTGAGCCAGCGGCGTGGTCCCGAAAGCCAGAGCCGGTGCTCTTGTAAGAGCTGGTCTGGAACTCCGGGTACCGGGCCCGACTTACCAGTGTCGGGCCAGTTAGCCTCCCCTAGCCCATTAGTGGAGGATTCGGGGCTAGGACAGAGTTAGCTAGGGGTGTATCCCGAGTTATACGGGTGAGGGGGCCAATACCCCCTCGAGTGTGTATATGCCCACTGTCGTATTGTGAAATAAATATACGTGTGCCTCAACCTCGGCGTCAAGCGTCTTCACCGGTACTTCAACTGGTGTCAGAAGTAATTCGAACATGGACACGCGGAAAACAGCGCGGGCCAAAGTACCGCAGGAGGAAGACACTGCCGAGATCGTCAAGCCCGAGACGGCTCCACAAGACAAGGTGCAGCCGGGGCCTGACGCCTCCTTACCGGGGCATCGAAATGAAGAGGGGCCGCAGCCAGACGCGTTACGGCTGGCTCACGGGAGGCTGGCGGAGCTGCTGTATGCCGCTGCCGCCACGCTGGAGACCATCACGCGACTAGGGGCCGGTGATCCAACACGGGGCGAGGCGAGCCAACGACCAGGGCGCCTTCCCGCCATTTCGGAGCAGTCCGAATTTGAAATTCCCGCCATCGACGCTACAGCTGTTCGGGGCGTGGCCAGCCTAGACATCCGCTCCGACATCGCCGTCGCTGAAGCTGCAACGTCATCACAAGCGCGACAGGCGATCCCATCGGCCGTTCGCACCGACGCACAGCCGAGTGGTGGTGACATCAGCCTGCGGGAGTCCACAACGACCGCTGCGCTTCATCAGAGACTGCCCCCGCTGAAGGAGTTCATCGGCGCGGAGGGGGACTGGGCCGGTTTTCGCCGACGTTTCCTCGCCCATCAGGAGATGGCGAAATGGTCCGATGAGGAGGCTCTCTGCGCGCTGCCGGCGCTCCTCGACGGCGACGCGCTCGCCGCCCTCACATCGGCGCCGAGAGAGAAGCGGTCTACGTTACCGATGGCACTACAGCTGCTGGGCGGGGTCTATGGACCATCGGCTGAATGCCGACAGCAATTTTACGACCGCAAGCGGAGTGAGAAGGAGTCGCCCCTAGCATATCGGACGAGCCTCCTGGCGATGGCTAAGTCGGCCTTCCCTCGTATGGACGACGACGGCGTGGACGCGATGGTCACGGAGAAGATCCTCCTCCTGGCAGACGACCTTGACATCGCGGTCGTCGCCCGGGAGGACGAGGAGATGACATCGCTCCAGGCGGCGCGGCTCCTCCACGCCAACCTCCTGTCACTGCGGCGGAAAGCCAGCAGGGCATCGGCGGGGCGTGCGGTGGCTGCAGCCACCATTCCGACGGAGGAGCTCTACGCCGTCGACCACCGACCGCAACAGGCGACAGGAGCACGGTCGGGCCGGGACGGGCCGGGCCGTTTCAACCGTCCGTCTCCTCCAACGGCGCTCCCGCGGTGTTTCAACTGCGGCGTCCGGGGCCACGTCGCCTCGGGGTGCCGCGCTCCTCGACAGCGCGGGACGACACCTCAACGGGACGACGGGCCTCATCACAAGCTCCACCATCATAACCCGGCGAGTCGCGGCACCCCACATGTTTGGCCCACGCACACACCCGTCACGCACTCAAACACCGCAACGAGAGGGGGGCCGATATCGCGCACCATCGCACCATCACGCACCACCCCGGGTACTCATATCGAACCCGGCCAGTGGTCCGTGCTGGCCGATCGTGTGGTAGCCGCATCGTCGGGGTCGTCGGCCGTTGTCGGGCACATCGACGGGGTTGAAGTGCGCATCCTGGTCGATACGGGAGCATCGGCGACCATTATTTCGGAGTTGATTTACAATATTCTCCCTGTCCGGAGTCGTCCTTTGATGCCTGTTAACGTACCATTCTATGCGGCTAACGGGGGCTCACTTGGCATCATCGGACAAATTCGTGCCCAAATTTGTATTGGGGAAATTAAATTGTCTGGGCCGATTTTTGTTTCCTCCTCGCTGGCGGTTCCGTGCCTGCTGGGGACGGACTTCCTGGCCAAAATGCCGATTAGGATATTGATCGACCAGGGATGTATTGAGCTCCCGTCGGGCAGACGCATGGCGTTTCTGCCATCGCCTGTTACGACTCGGACGGCGTTCGCGACGGTGCCGGCATTCGTAGAGAGAACGGTGCGCGTCCCTCCGGGGGCGCAAATGTTGATTCCCTTGAAACTTCGGCGGCCCTTCGCTAAGGGTGTTGGGGCCCAAGGGGTTCTGCTGGGGCCGTCTAGGGCCGGGGTTAGTGGACCTCATTTACTTCCGGCCCAGACCATAGTAAGAAGGGACGGTGAACCCTTCATCGCGGTCCTCAATGTGGGCTCGCAGACGGTGGTGGTCCCACAGGGGACCGTGCTTGCTCACGCAACGCCGGTGCCATGTGAGGAACCCGTCGCAAATCACGTCAGCGTTGTCCCTGCGCCGCGACCGCATTCGGACAGCGATGAAGGGTGGCTCGAGGCGCTTTGTGCGGGATCGACGGACCAGTCAGATTCAGAGCGTCAACAACTTAAAACACTACTGCGGGAATTTTCCGACGTTTTTAGTCGGAATAAATACGATTTGGGTTGTACTCACCTGCTGCGTCACCATATTGACACGGGTGACAGCGCGCCAATTCGCCAAAATCCGTTTCGGTTGAGTCCCGCCGAAAAGGACCATGTCAAATCGGCTGTTGATGACATGTTGGCCGCCGACATCATTTCTCCTTCCACCAGCCCTTGGGGAGCGCCGATCGTCCTGGTTAAAAAGCAGGACGGTTCGTTGCGGTTTTGCGTTGATTTCCGGCGTCTTAACAAAATTTCGGTTGCCGACGCATACCCGCTCCCTCGGATGGATGAATCGCTGGACGCCTTGGCGGGAGCGCGATTCTTTTCCACACTGGATTTACTTTCGGGATTCTGGCAGCTTCCTCTGGACGATGATTCAAAGCCTAAAACTGCTTTCCGTACACCGCATGGCCTGTTCCAATTCAACCGGTTGCCGATGGGCTTACACTCAGCGCCGGCAACTTTCCAGCGTTTGATGGAATTGGTTTTGGCTGGATTGCAATGGGAGTCGTGCCTCATTTATTTGGATGACGTTATCGTCTTTAGTAAAACTTTTGACGAACATCTCCAGAGGTTGCGGGCGGTTTTCCTAAAGATGCGGGCTGCTAATTTGAAATTCAAGCCCCAAAAATGCCATTTGTTGCGCGATTCGGTGCGTTATTTGGGGCACATCGTGGGACGCTCAGGTATTGCTACCGATCCCGCCAAAACGCAGTGTGTCAGCTCCTGGCCGACTCCCACCTCGGTGGGAGAGGTCAGGAGTTTCATTGGGTTCGCGTCGTATTACCGACGGTTCGTCGCTGATTTTCCGACAATTGCAAAACCCCTGCACGCTTTAACATCTAAAGGGGTTCGGTTCTACTGGGGTCAAGAGGAGGAGGCTGCTTTCTGCTCCCTTCGGGACGCCCTGGTAAAAGCCCCTCCCTTGATTTACCCAGATTTTTCTAAGCCCTTTTTGCTCGACACCGATGCGAGCAACACGGGTATTGGGGGTGTGCTTTCCCAGGTGGTTGATGGCGTGGAATGGGTGGTCGCATACGGTAGTCGGGTGTTGTCTCCTGCGGAGCAAAGATATTGTGTCACCCGTAGGGAACTGTTGGCAATTGTCTATTTCATCCAACAATATCGCCCATATCTGTACGGTCGGCATTTCACCGTCCGCACAGATCATGCGGCACTACAGTATGCCCTGCGAGTTCAACAACCATCGGGACAGTTGTCTCGATGGTTGGAGGTTTTCCAGGACTTTGATTTTGAAACCACCTACCGTAAGGGCGTTCGCCATACGAATGCGGACGCTCTGTCGCGCATGCCAACCACCTCCGAATGTGCATGCCTCCTGGGGTCGGGACGTTGCAGGCCTTCAGGGGACGCATCGGTTCCGATCTTGGCAGCCACCGACGACGACGAACCATTGGTTACTAATTCGATCGAACAACAGGGAAGAGATTCCCTGTTGGGGTTGCCCGTCACTGAATGGGGGCGCCTCCAAATGGAGGATACCTCCCTCCTCGGGTGGCGTCGTCGCGTCGGGGGTGCTGGGCGGGTGAAGGGTGATTCGGATGCATGGGAAATGGTGCAAGGTCTGCTGATGCATTGGGACGGCAAATCCCAGCGACATCGGCTGGTGGTCCCTTCTGAGTTGCGAGGCAAGGTGGTGTGGGCCGCGCATGAGCGCCTATTACACCTGGGGACCCAAAAGACTCTTGCACTGCTACAACTTGATTTTTTTTGGCCTGGTATGACGAGGGATGTTGGGGATCTATTGGGATCATGCCCTCGGTGTGCGCAACGGAAACCGCCGGCACGGGAGTCTAACCCGCCCTTGCAATCGATCAAAGTATCCAGAATAAATGAGCTTGTCGCGCTGGACATTTTGGGCCCATTTCCCGCCACCCCCAGGGGCAATAGGTATTTGTTGACAGGTGTCGAGTATTTTACGCGCTGGCCTATGGCCTGGCCCCTTGCCAACCAGTCGGCAGCAGCCATCGTGGAGGCCTTTGTTCAGGGATACGTCCTGGACAAAGGTGCTCCGGAGCGGCTGCTGACCGACCAGGGCAGAAATTTTTCCGGTAAATTACTCAAACAAGTCTGTGACCTCTTAGGCACGAAGAAAATTCGTACCTCCCCGTATCACCCGCAAACTGACGGAATGGTCGAGCGCCTGCATCGCACCATTACGTCAATGATGTCACAGCAGGTCTCGGACTCGCAGACTGACTGGGACCTGCATATTCAAGGGGTCTTGGCGGCATACCGGATGGCACCCCATGCAGCTACGGGATTTTCCCCCTTTTACCTCATGTACGGTCGCGAACCCGACCCGCCTGTTCGCGCCCAGCTGCAGATCCCCGACCCGCAAGGGAAAACTAAATTGGCTGACCACGTCAAATTTAATCTGGCCAAATTAACAGAGGCGCGGGATGCTGCTATGCTAAACTCGGACCTCCGTCAAAAGGCGAATGAGCGCCTCAGGCTGGGTCGGGCGCACGTAATACAGTGGAAGCCGGGGGACAAGGCATGGTTGCACTGTCCCCAAGTGCCCCTGGCTACCTCCCCTAAGCTGGCGCGGCCGTGGCGGGGCCCTGTGGAGGTGGTCGAAGTTTTGCGACCACAGTGCGTGCGCATTAAATGGGGGAAGCGGCGATGGTTCGTGCACCCCTCTAGGTTAAAACCCTTCGTTGCAGTACACAAACCCACTTCACACATGCGTGGCCAAACGTGTGGGGGGTCGACCGACTCACTGGGTCCGTCTCCGTCGTTCTCACCTAATGCCTTGCCGGCCGTGCCACCTCCAGGTGCATCAGGACTGACGGGCTCACGCCCGACCACCCCTCCTGGGGATACCGACGGTCGCGCGGCATCGGATGAGGTCTCACTCCGGGACGGACAATTGCCACCTTACGGTCCGCCACCCGGGGTTACCCCGTGTGAGGGGCCCGCTGCAAGGACGCGCGCAAAAATGCGCAGACTGTTATGAGGCCGGAAGATGTGTACATAGGTTGTGTTCATCGTGTGTTGTGTGGGTGGTGTGTTCCCTGCCCATTGAAATGTACATACGTTGGGTTCACCTGGTGTTGTGTGTATGGTGGGTTCCCTGCAAATTGTATATAGGTTGTTTTTTTTACGGAATTCGTATTTATTCAAGGGGGGTGCGTCGGGTTGTTTTCTCTTCTTGCTGTTGCATTTTGTTGTGTTCTTGTTGCTGTTCTTGTTATTGTTGAAAAATAGTGAGGCACACCCGCGGTCAAGGTGTAAATGCACTTTTATTGTCATTTTTGTATGTTGGCAGCCGGGACGGCTGCAAGCTATGCGGAGGGGGGTGATGTAGGGGTGTTAAAGAGAGGGCCCGTTATGCATGGCAGCCTATGGAAAACAAACACAGTGGGCGGGGCTACGTAAGTGCACGAGCAAGTGCCCTCTACGACGTCCGAGCCAGACACCCTGGGGGGGGGCTGGTTCGAACGTTATGATCCCCCGGGGCCCCACCCCTCAGGGAGGGGTTGGGTATAAAAGGGGATGTTTCAAAGGGCTCGGCAGTTATGTTTAAGCTAAGGGAAGAAGACTGAAGACGTCTTAGATAGAGCCCTGGACTCCCCTAGTTCGATGTCCTTTTCAGGGCCGGACAGGACTGAGCCAGCGGCGTGGTCCCGAAAGCCAGAGCCGGTGCTCTTGTAAGAGCTGGTCTGGAACTCCGGGTACCGGGCCCGACTTACCAGTGTCGGGCCAGTTAGCCTCCCCTAGCCCATTAGTGGAGGATTCGGGGCTAGGACAGAGTTAGCTAGGGGTGTATCCCGAGTTATACGGGTGAGGGGGCCGATACCCCCTCGAGTGTGTATATGCCCACTGTCGTATTGTGAAATAAATATACGTGTGCCTCAACCTCGGCGTCAAGCGTCTTCACCGGTACTTCACATGTTTGCTCACACACACTCACTCACACTCACTCACACACTCTCACACACACTCACACACTCTCACACACTCACTCACACACACACTCACACACGCTCACACACACGCGAAGATAGATGCGAAAATTCCTCCATGCAGCCTTCGCAGATTGTTGGGCACTGGCGATTGCTGGCCAAAAGAGCACTGATGAAGGTCAACACGCGTGGCTAAAACCACGTCCGGCCGCCTTTGTCTTCCCACGGGCTATGCGCAATGCGCTGCACACGTGGCGTGCATTGCACGTGCAATTGCGGCGGTGCCGTGACGTGCACGCACGCAACGCATGACGGGGAGTCGTGCCCTGCCTGCCGTTCTGTGAGCAGCGCACCTTTTGTGTGCGGCTACTTTCAGCGAGTGGAAAAATCGCGCACGCAAGCGCATGTTCGTCAGGTCGATTAATTACCTGCCGCTTGCCAGACTATTCAGAGGTATCCCCCCCCCCCCATCAATCATTTCGTATTGTAATAGTTAGTAGAGAGCCAATGCGTGCATTCAAATGTGTAATGCAGTGTCCCGCATGCCACAAGGACAGGTGAGTTATGAGCGCGCTCTCGGCATATAATAAATCTGTTGCGACCTCGCCAAATTACAGCAGCCAGGAGTACAAATTCGCCGGCTTGAAAAATCGGTGCGGCATTCACCGATAAGTTACTGCTTCCGATTAAATGTGTAATTTCGGTCCGTAACCATGGGTTAATCAACAGTGGCGATGTTACGACACAAAGCGTTCGGTTTGCTTCATGATGTCATCCCCCCACCCGAACCGCGACACGAGACTGACTCTTGCACAATTACCGCACCCCCGTTCCTCGTAATTGAGATGCAACGCATCCCAGAGAGCGATGGTGAAACTCAGCTCTCGCGTGAAGATGCTTCAGTGCAGGATCGCGGTATTGTGAGAGACGGCGAGCGCTTGAGATAGCCTCGATCATTTACGGATGAATGTTCGATCGTGATGGTGGTCGTGATGTTGAGCATGATGATAATGGTTATGTTGATTTTGATGTACGTATGTTGAACATCTTTCGCACCGCATGTGGCCAACCGTGCTAATCGGAGGTGTGATGGCCATGGTGATGATGACGGTGCCGAGATGTGAACGAACTCGTCTGCGATACAGGAGGGTTCTCGGTTTAGTTACCGACCCTGACACCTTTATATTTGGAGCTTGCATGTTCTCTCCGTGGTCGCGTGGATATTCATAAGGGCACTCCACGTTATAAATATGCGTTTAGTATTTGGCTGCTATAAAAAAAAAGATCCACATGATAAGCCACTTTCGTTGAGCTACTGTTTGTGGCCAGGTCACTTCTGAAAAAAAGCTATATCGCTCAGTGGGCCTTACCTGGTAAAAAAGATACAATTCTATCGTTTTTCGTTTTAATCGAGAAGTGGTTTGACCAAGGTTGATAATAAATAAGTGAACTGACTTCATGATTGCTGAAGTCCGGCGTTGCTTGATTGTGCTCGGCGAAAGATTACTCTTCTGCAAGATCACGATGATTATGGCTATGTTGATGATGATGATGGTAGTGTCGCTGATGATACTGATGATGATTATGATGTTGGTGATGGCAATATAATAATGAAAGTGATGTTATTGGTGATAACGATCATGATATGATGGTGTTAATTGTGATGATAAAGGTGGTGCTAATGATGTTGATGTTTACAATGAATCTTCGATCATGATGATGATGGTAGTGATGTTGATCATGATGATGAAGTTGATTATGATCATTGTGATGGAGATGACAATGATGATGACGGTGCCTTTGTGTATGTGCAGCCACCTTGGGCACAAACCGCTTCTGCTTGGATGAGCTCGTGAGCAGGGATGAGGCAAATCCTCCTGTTCTGCTGCGGTGTATTCTGGATAGGGTTAACGAGGTGAGCCATAAACATCACTTGCACCACATTTAAAGGTCATGTTTTTTTTGCATAGCACAAAATGGCAAAATGCATTTTTCAAAAATATGTAACCATTTGGAACATAATCACGGTGTCTGTGCAACCATGCTGTGTGTAATGATACGGGGTCATAGATGTATTTTCCTCGCCGATGAATACGGCTGCATGTTTTTTCTCTTGCAATGCGAACTGGCGAGCTGGAGGTGATCTGGATATTCAGGTTATGTGCCAACGATTTCAGACTTTTAGGAAACTCGTGTGACAATAATAGGAGCACATTTGGTATGCGTGCCAATCTTGTAGCGCAAGGCTGTAGCGAAGGCGCCGCTATGTTCCGGTTAGGGGGCGACGTTGCAATGTGGTTTTTACCCCAATTCAGTGACTTACGAGCAATTTTTATTTCGTAACTGAACGGTCGTGCATTTTCCGCACGATACAGAGGTTAATACTGTGGTAATATCACCACAATCACGCGCCGTATGCTCCACAGCAGACCGTAAAAATACCATGACATATTTTTTAAAGAATACAAATGGGCCATATGTGCCGGTGTCATGGTTAAAATGTTGTGTCTTTATTCTGAAATGTACTTACATTGCTCAATGATAAATATTGAGACCGCACAGAAATACTACGGTGGTTGTTGTATCATGCTTCCTTGGTTAGTTTTCTACCTTATCTACTTAGCAGCACCAAACCAGATCTGGGTCAATACTGCCTAACATTAGTGCTCTATGCTACCAACAACAACATCAACAACACGTGCTGTGCATTGGCCCATTTGGGTGAAGAAACATGTGTTGTGTAGAGGATTGTCCCCCCTTCCCCGACCCATAATCTGCCATTGACAGGACCATGTGAACATGCACTCATTAGAATAACGTGCTTCCACAGCCTGAGCACTTTATCACTGCAAACCGTTCAGCCGTAATTATCCGCGAGTGAAAATATACACAGAGCATAGACGGCTCACAAACCCAACAGGCACACGCATGATCTGCTCTAATTGATCAATACCGCTGGTGTCAGTTGAGGACTCCATCATGGATGGGTTCACTAAAAGTCAGAGAGCTTCTTTAACGTGACCGTTTGAAATAAGCGTTTTTTTAATCGATTAGCCCTGCACCCTTATATTAAAAAAAACGCTTCGCGTTCCGTTGCACATTTTTTTGCACTATAAGCTTGTAAACCGCAACTGATGTGATAACGCCCAAGGCGGCGTGGATCACGTGTCACAAAACCATGGGGAAAAATAGTGCAGATGGCTACAGCTAGATGATTAAATGATGCACAGTATTTACTCATGCTAGATGCTGCTACCCACTGGTTAAATGTATTTAATATGTTGTTCATAACAGCCCATGAAATCTGATAAGAAAAAACATTAGTGATGTGGTTATTATTGATGCCCCCAAGTAATATCTCAAAAAACAAGCATAAACGTGTTTTTTTTCGATAGGGTTTTATGTATACAGTGGATACATGCACATCCCTTTGTCAATTCACTGCTGGGTGATGGTATTCACACATGGCTTATGGGGATAATATGACCATAATTGGGAAAAAAAATAGGCTTTACCCCTTCTGGCAATAATACAGGCGTTAAGATGTTCAAACACCAAATAGACACCGATTGCAATATTCCCATAGAAATGAGACCACACCTCACCACGGTGGTCGATGTGGATTAGGCTGATGGTGGGCGAGCATAAGTTGTAGCTCCATTGCCCTTAGTTGGGCGACCACTTAGCCCCACTGCCTATAGCAACTCTGCTGTGTGGTCACCCATCTAAGCTTATTACAATCAATCTCGCAAAAACAAAAACGGCTCTATACTGAATTTGTCATAACAAATTCCGATCTTACAGCCTGCTGTGTGGGTCGCCCATTCAAGCGCCGCACAGACTCAACTCTGCTTCGTCTCTGAGATCCGAGAGTTCTGTTGCATTCTGGGTGTGTTTTCCACGTTTTTATTTGCGAGGTCCAAATATTCGCCCGGTAAATTTTTCAATGTCGTACTTGTACCACGATTACTATGTCGACACACAATAGACTTGTGACTGAAAGGACTCATACCCAACTCCAAATACTGTATTCAACGTTTAATCGATGGATTCAGTGACGTATATGAGTAAAGGGCTGCAGCATTGGTTCCTTTTCAAGCCAGATGACTTAGTGGACTGGTTGCAAAACTGTTTGCAGGCCTGTGTCCGATCAACCAGCTTATTACGATCAATCTAGCAACGTAAAAAAGGTATCATGCTGAATTTTCTTCATAATTTCTTGACCACAGTGGGTTGCTGCCTTGTCACCAATACCATGCTGTGTGGCCGAATAACACCACTCGCTTGCCCTCCCTGCGGAATAGGATTTTTGTTATAACAGGCGGTGGAAATAAAATGCAGGAAAAGATTGTCCAACTGACAGCAGCTACAAAAAACACTCAATCGGCACACATCGTGTCAGACTAAGCTTTGTTTTCTCTCCGTGAACTTAAAATTGTCTCGGATAATAATACTGCAGATGAACGATTTAACGTAACTTCTGTAGTTCTTCTTTTAAGCGATAGAGTGCTACGTGGTCAGTTATGAGTCACCTGAGCTCATCATCCTTCTGGGGTCGATACAATTGCTATCACGTAAAAAAAAGTCAACAATGGTTATCTATGGATATACTCGCACTCTTGCCCCCACCCCCAATGGATGTACTGCACTCTCCGCCCCCCACCATAGGAATGTGGAATGTCCACCACTGGCTCAGGTCTCTGAACACGAGATGAGCCACTTTCTCAATTCCTGCTTGAGCAGGAAATCACTTATAGCTCAGTGGGCCTTACCTGGTAAAATACAAATACATACTTTGCCTTGCAAACGTAATCGATCAAAGTCGACAGAGAGGATCTGATTCTGTGATGGCAGCCATCCCCATCCGATCTATTCGGTTTGGAATTATGGTCCGATCAAGCCTATGTGATATGGTCTCAAGCAATAAAGACCCGAATCATTCACGCTTATTGCATTAACTAGCTTTACTACCCGGCTTCGCCCGGGACTTGGATTCACCACGCCCGGCCGCCTTTGTCTCCCCAGTGGCGATATTTATACACCACACCAGTTACTCTTTTGAGGCTGAGTCGACCTAGGGGAGGCCCAGGACCGGTTCAAATAATCGTCAACGGTGGTGGCCGTGAGCGGGAATCAAACTCGGGTCGCCGGGTTCGTAGCGCAGCGTGCTAACCACTACACACAACTTTCAGAGTGCGTACGGCAGTAAACGACTGAAATAATAAACCAATGATGCGCGAAGAACGCCTTAGACCTGCAACACATTTGTATTTCACTTTACCCGCGATCAGCAGGCACACTCCGTTACGCTTCCGCACACGGGTCACATGACAGATGTGACGTCACAGCTCACTTGTCCTGCAAAATATATGCATTATTGCGCCCCCCCAAAAAAATATACAAAAGTGTATTTTTTATAATTTTTGCATAGTGTACAGTCTGGAAAGTACCCACATGGCAAATTTCAAGTTTGTTGCATCTCGGGAAGTACGCTAAACATTTTGAACAGACACACATAATCACAAATTTCCCTTTTATATATACAGTATAGATATCCCAGACGAGTTCATGACGATGCTGCGTTGGCAGTCGTGCACAAGCACAGTTAACAACAAAGCTAAATACACTCGTCAACAACACTGCAATGACCATTGCCCTGAAACGTTGCCGATATATATTTTTTAATTTTAAGGCCACAGTGTTGTTGATGAGTGTGTTGCGTTTGTTTTGCTATTAATATTCCAGACATTTATCAGTTATTTATCATATTTTCTCAGCAGCTCTCCCGCGATATGTATCACCTGATGACGATTGCTTGGGTTGAGATCGATACGTCGTGATATTTTTATTATGTTTTATTATTTTTTCTATCTATTTGACTTTACCGAAAGACCCAAATAATATTTAGCAGTTGTTTGGTGGTTTGCAAAATTTATATTTGGAACCTTGGATACAAAGACAATGAGCACACACCGAGTCAAATCTTATCCTTCGTCTCGTCTCCTATCCAACCTTTCACGGTCTTTCTCCAATATTCTGCACAGGCCACCGCTTCTGGTGTTTGGCATTACCAAATCTTGAGGAGCAGCATTGTGGTGCTACGAGGCATCTCAGGAGATGATCCGTGTGGTTTGCTTCTCCTGACAAGCACACGGTTCAGATGTGCAGAAGCTACCCCTCCTATGATTTCATGAGAGAGTTGCATCTGCCGAGACCACGTGAGCCATTTGGAATTGGAGCCCAGATGCGAGCTCCTCACTGCGGGGGGGGGGGGGTGATTCCTCGCTGCCTCCATTCAGCAGCAGCTTTTTCAAAGTCGAATGCGAGTCCGTGACCCGGCGTGACCCCCTGCTGGAACCGCAGACAACGGAAAGCACGGAAAGCCCGGCTTTCCGTTGAGCCCATCGCAGCGATCACGTCCGCTACCACAGTGCAGACTTGGGCGAACGGGTTAATGGCGCGCCTCTGCCGCCGTTAATTCATGAATTTATAAACGCGCGTTCTTCGGGTGATTAGATCACGAAAGTGGCTGAAATAAACCGGGGTTCGTTTTTTTCAGCCAGTGAAGCCTGCCGTTTGCACAGCAGATTGTTTTAATCGTTTACAAATTGTAACGACCCCCCCGCCGCCCCAAATGCAGACGATCGCAATCGTAAAGGCAATAAAGAATGGATCACTGCAAAATAAATAAACTGTAACTTATCTTACACCATCTTTCCCATTTATGAATCGTCGACCTGTCTCTGTACGCCATTAAGTTTTGTGTACATTGCCGGCCGTGCTTACATTGTGCGTGTGTTATCGCTTCTTAAAATGCACTATTGTAATATCCCACCTCCCATCCTGGCCAGTGGCTGGGAGAGACGATGAGAGATGATGAGAGACGATGAGAGACGATGAGAGATGATGAGAGATGAGGAGTTTCTCTAGCCCTGCAACTACCGCGTCAGTATATATATGTTTGGAACATTCCATGTCACATTTCCCTTGACGTATAAACCGTATTGCTTGCTTGGCTTCGGTGCATTTTCCCCGAAATTACCCCTCTCTATTAAACAACACTGCCTTTAAAGAAATAAAATATAAAATTAATCGGCAACTTTTCGGGTAATTTGCTCTTCTTCATAGCACAAGGGATATTGCCTGAAACTTGACTGATGATTCTTTTCCCCCTTTTTAAGGCCACAGTGTTGCTGACACATTTTGTTTTGAGTTTTTGTTAATTGTGCTTGTGCATCACGGCCAACGCAGCATGACCAACTTTCTATACATATACACCATATATATTATGGTTCTGAATAATTTCACATATTTTCATTACTATCTGTATTTTACCAGGTTAGGCCTAATCAGCTCTATATAGATATTTTTCAGAAGCGACCTAGCCACAAATAATAGCTCAACTTATCACGTGGTTTTCCCACCTGATGATGATTGCTTATGTTGCAATCGAAACGACGTGATTTAATTTATTTTATTTTCTACCTACGTGACTTTACCGAAATAACCAAAAAGTATGGATCCCTGCAGTCACGAAAACTTAAAATCTAGATTTATGTAGGTTTTCGCGACCAATAAATATATTTTATTCTATATACTAACTAGCTTGTTAGCCAGTCCTAGGACGGAAGCTGTAATATGGCAGTTGTTACCACGCAACTAAGTCATAAAACACTTGGCGTAATGTAACAGTAGCACTGTATTTAACGGACCTTCAATTACTTGAAATCCACTGTTCTGATCCTGACTTATCTTCCGCTTTCGTTCGCTGGGGTTGAAAACAATTGGAGTTCGATACAATGTCTGCAAAGTGGCAGAGAAATGTTTATTGTAGCATGATTTGGAAGCATAAAGTAGATTTTACCTTTTGTTGGACGTGCCGAAGAAACAAATAAAGGCACCAAATGCACCGCGATGCGTCGTAGAATTATTTATTGCCTTCACTTTCTATAAAGATACGTAAAATCGTAAGCGAACTTTCGCAGCTGCTCGCGTTAGTCAAACAAAGCAGACAGACATGAATAATGATGAGAGGGGGAGGGGCATGTCGAGTGACGTCACGCGCAGGACACACAGCCTTTTGCTCGTCATATGAGTTGCTGCGTTGATGTCTTTATTAACTTTACTTTGCATGAAGAAAGGTGAAAATGCAAGGTTATTTGGGTCAACAAATTTCTGTTTCCGCTCCACCTTGTTCATACGGAGTGACGTCACCCGTTCATGATTATTAATGAAGGGGGGCTGGTCCACGTGTAGTGACGCCACGTGCGTTACACACTGACATTCTTGGGTAAATATAGTAATCAATATGCCAGACACATTGTTCCCCCCTCCCCCCCCCCAGCGGGCGTTCAACACACCGCGTGGCAGTTAACGTGCACCTAGCCTGGCACAAGCGCCTTGGGGACGTCACCGCCACTTAGTGTCGAATGGCGGTTGTTGTTGATGTGTGCGTGTGAAATACTTTACTGAAAAGGAGCTCTCTGCTCCTCATCATAAAATCCTCACGGAAGCTCCACGGGTTCCTGCTCTCAGTGGATTCATAATTTGTTTTGCGGGTCAGATGGCGATGTGTTGTTGCGTGCGGTTGTTGAGCGGTGTTGAGATTTTTCTCCAAGGCACCCGGCAGTGCTGAAGCGGTAATATACAACGGCCACGTTTGTTCATCACGTGGAAACTTTATGCATCGCCTGTGTCAAGGTAGAGGAGGGTGTACGACATAGATTTTACCTAAGCGATCTGACCAATTCACTGTTACGATTCATCATTTACCCAAAAGTCAATTGTGAATCATAGCAGCGGATTGATGAAGCGCTGTAAAAAAAATCCAAAATCTCGTTATTCATGCTTGGCATTCAGCATACATATTGCGAACTCATAACAAATATATGCGCAGACTCGCGTCAATTGATTGTCAAATCTTCACTTCAATGGATTTAATATAGAGTGCGTGATTATCATGCAAATATGTGGATTCAATGTTATCTTTAAAATTGGCTGGCGAACTTTACCGATGTCTCATCTTAATGTTTGATTGCAAACATATAGAATGTGAACATTGTTTATCAACGTGCGGATCTGCAAATGTGTTTATATATATGCTGCATTGAAAAAGGTACAATATAAATAATACTGCAGTTTGAATACATTGCAAATTGTTACTCATTACCCTTGTCAGTAATACCAGTTGTAGAAATTCCACATTCCTATGACATGGATTCTTGTTTTTAGGGGTGACCACTTTTTTTTTATACCCACGAGTGATTATTTATCAGCCTTAAAAAGATTATGGATTGAGTCCACTCCCACCTAGATTTGAACTCAGATGTGAGATTGGTCATATTGCAAATAGTGCCAAATGGAGAGTTATTTCGATATATTTGCATATATAAATACAAAGACAAAGATTCAGTGTGTTGTTTACAGTATAAGATCGTGGGGCAAGTGCTGTTAGCAAACACCTATCAAGGTATCTGCACTGTGCACCAAAGAGTGGTTATGGTGAACACCACGCCTGGCCACCTTTGTCTCGCCAGTACTGATGTTTACACACTGCACCAGGTATTTATTTAAGGCTGAGTTGACCTCGGGCAGGGTCAGGACCGATTCAAATATTTGCCAGTGAAGTCTTGGAGGTCGCTGCATGTCTCTGGTGCAGCAGCTGCGGGATCAGGCGGAGGGTAGACATGTTGTGGTGGTGGATTCCACAGCGTTGGCCGTAATCACATCTCCCACCACTCCACCCAACATGTAAATACAAAGACAAAGATCCTCCATATAGCCTTAGCAGACTTTTTGAGCAAGTACTGTTAGCGATCACCTATGAAGGCCGCCTTGTCGCGTTTGTCTCCCGAGCGACGATGTTTACACATCGCATCAGGTACTCATTTGAGGCTGAGTCGACCTGGGAATGCCCAAGACCAGTTCAGATCATTACAATTATCTAATAAAAACTTTGTATTGGGGCTAGAATGCCATCTGTGAAAACGTGATCAGGATAAGCGTCGCATTCGGATGCCTGATGAAGCTTGGAGACCTGAATGGAGTTCAAAGAAATCGCAAACACCTCGTGAAAGATCCAACGGCAGAAGATCCCCGGTTTTGATTTTCCACAAAGTTCATGGTCCACCCTCAAACAGCTTCCGCACAAACAATGGCAGATGCGGATACCTGATGCACAAATGGATAATGGAAAACTCTCCAATGCGCGACTGTGATCATCCAGAACAGGACCGTACAATGTGTAATGACGCAATGCCGAATCCACAAAGACGAAGGAGACGTCACAGCGAGGCAAACTCCGCTGAATTTCGATTTAAAGCTTTCGTGACTATAGGGATTCATCTTCTTGGTTCTTTCGGTAAAGTCACGTAGAAGGGAAAAAAAATTACATAAAAAAGTAATACAATTTATTTTATTATTATAAATAAAAATAATAATACAATTTATTTTATTATTTTTACTTTTATTATTTTATTATTTTCCTTCTACGTGACTTTACCGAAAGAACCAAGAAGACGAACTCCACTGCTCTTGGTTCGACCACCTAAATGTGAAATAGTAGTTGTTAATCTGCCATCAATGTGAGCCGTGACGTGTGCCATTTTATCTCTCGTTTGCAGGTGGAGAAAAACTGCGACTATGAACAATTTGCTCCGCTGGCCATTTTGTTCCACACGGCCGTGATTCAAGTGAGTGCAAAAGTCACGGCGGCGTGCCGGTGATAACGGCACGCCTTTCGTCGATCCTCTGTAAGAATCGCCCTGCTATTTCGAGTGCAATTTCGTGGACCGTGTTGGCAGATTGTGCAAACACATTGTCAACGCATTCTGAATTGTCCAAACACAGCCTAAACTTCCTTATCGCTTAAACACAAATAGGCTGATGTTGTACGGGTAGTGACATTTTCTCTATCCACTGAAGAAGGGTGATATTACGAATCTTATTACCGTATTCACACACGCACATATGCAGTAGCCCTTTGTCAATCTACTGCCATGCGACTCACGGGGGTTTATTTGACCATACTTCATGACCACTGGTTAGCGCGGGTTGAAGGTTATTTTATTTTGATTAATAGGCTCAGAGTATTCACATTTCTACATCTTGCGTATTAATGAAACAACAATAATTATGAACATAGTTAAATAATCCACATAGATCAATCCACTACTGATTGAAAGCTGCGCTCATGCTATGTTGATCACGGTTTTTTTTAATTACCAGCATGGTGAAGTATGGTGAAACTACCCCATGACCAACACAGCATGTACGGGCAGCTCTCCATCGAGTAGCAGATTGACAGAGGCTGTTACATTTCGATTTAAAGCTTTCGTGGCTACAGGGATTCATATTCTTGGTTCTTTCGGTAAAGTCACGTAGAAGGGAAATAATAAAAGAATAAAAATAAACGTAATAAAATTCTCACGACGTTTCGGCCATAACGCAAGCAGCCATCCTCAGGTGAAGAACAGAGCTGTCGGAAAGACAGCGTCCTAATTTTATTACGTTTAATTTTTTTAATTTTATTATTTCCCTTCTACGTGACTTTACCGAAAGAACCAAGAATAGGGTTGTACATTATTAATCAAGCCTTTTTTATTATTACAGTATTTGAGTATTTGGAGCTTACGTTAATGCAATGTAACATAATTGCTTTAATTAATTAAATAAATAACACTTTCTTTTAACAGGTAAAGCCCACTGTGCTGTTAACGCATTTTCAGAGGTGACCTGGCTACAAGTGATCGCTTATCAAAGTGGCTCATATCATCCACATGTGGGAATGTATAGTAGGAACCAAATAATCTAAATTTTCTAATCGTTGAAGCCAGAAACAAGAGGACCCAGAGAAAAATCCACGTGACCACATGGAGAAACATCACGCAAACTCCAAATATGCAGGGATCGTCAGGGTTGGGAGCGAACCCACGACCTCCTACATAACATCTCTCTCGCCTGCTTATTAAAAAACATGAACAAACCTCGTGGGAAATGCATCATATTCACAAAGGCATGATTAATTTTATTTAACATACTCAAGTAAATATCACACAGTAATTATTCGTTTGATTAGCGGATCAGTGGCACATGTTGTGGAGGTGGGTGGTGGGGTAAGTGGAGCGTGTAGAGATGATGTGGAGATACGTGGGAATATTTCTTCAGCTTGCAGAGCGATCAGTACGCCTGTAGGAAGTTGTGCAGCGAGTAGGCGTCCACCATTATCGTACAGAGTTTGAGGGTCCTTCGTAAATACGAGGAATCTGATTTCCTCCGAGAATCCTAAATATCACTGTGTCAATCTATCTACCTTTATTAACAATCATGGTTCAAGACTTGAGAACTCAGTGAGGCTTTTCTGTCTAAATAACGGACCTCGTATTTATTGTTACATTCCACATCGTCGTTTACCCAATGTCTCCCACCATCGTGTCATTGTTGTCTGCGACATGGCAGTTCTATTTATCGACCAATGACCTTTCCCGCTGCTGCCCCCCCCCCCCCTCCCGTTTGCTCAGGCCTCCCACTTACCCGAAAGCATCCATCTGTTGCACCAGTCCCGTCCCGTGCTCCGCCGCATTCTGTCCTGGCCGGTGCCGCACTGCTCCATGGCCCAGGACCTGCTCTCCATCGTCGACACGGAGCTCCGTGCTCCAGGTGAGGCCGTCTTGTTTTGAGTGAAAGATAGCCGCAGGCCTCCGTTGACATCATCGAGGCTCAAAGTTGTGGCGAAGGGAAAACAATTTTGAATAAACTCGTTCATATTTGTCTAAGTTGACTTGCATGGCTCTGAGGGTGTAAAACTAGGTCTGCAGTCAAGGCACTGAGTTCAGTGAGCTCCCACCAAAAGTGCAACGGTATTCTCAAGATTAAAAATGCGATTATGGTCTCCGCTAGGTTATCAATGACTGCCAAAATAAATCACAAACACTTGTTTTCATTATTCTTAAAGCTTTTATGGAACAACTCACGAGCCCGATACAGCCAGTCGCGTTTTCCAGTTGGAGGATCTCCCGTCGCAAGTAGCCAACACGACACGACTAAGCTGTGCAATGGAGGAGGGGGGATAAAGTGGGTCGACGGGGTAGGCCCCACTCAAAAAACACAATCGTCTTGAGTTTGCTTCTGTGCGTAATTTGGCGAAATTCTAGCTCTGGGAATAAAAAAAAATAACCGTTTAACTGCTGGCTGGGAAAGTGCTGCCACCTTAAGTGTAGGTCAGAGGTCACTCGATGAAGGGATCTCAGAAGTGGTTCTGTTGTATCTACTTCCATGGGCCATTCTTTAATACAGGGGGTTGCACCGCTCTGCGAGAGTTCCAAATGCATCTTCATTTCATGCCGAGACAGAGAAAGAGAGAGACGGAGTAACCCCACGTTTGAGATTACTGCTCGCAATTGGAGCAATTGGTCTCTTCCACAGGAATATGAAATTGCCATGACCAAGTCAGGGCAATACACGTGTTTAGTTGGAAGGGACATTATAATTTGACCCAATGTAATATTAAGTACGAATGTACTTGCCTTGGGATTGGTATTCTTAGTGCCAGTTGTACACTTAATTTAATATTGATTTGAAGCTTTCGTGACTGCAGGAATCCATACTCTTTGGTTCTTTCGGTAAAGTCACGTAGTTTGAAATAAATTAGAATGAAAAAATGTTTTATTTAAATTTATTTCTAACTACGTGACTTTAACTAAAGAACCAAACAGTACTTAAATGAATGTTTTGAGTTTTTAGCATTATACATTTTTTTTGTGCAGTTATTGTTGGTTCGTAAATTGTATTAATTACTTTTAACTAGATATTCATTTGTTCACCTCCATTCATGCACATGAATGGAGTTGATCGAACAGATTCGTTTGAATAATTCAGTTTAGGCCGCTGTGTATAAGCTGAAATTGTGCGATTATCTGTCTCTCCGCAATGCTGGGTAAATGTAATAGAAGCCACATCTAAGGTCATCCTAATGCTGGTGTTGCCCAGACCATTTGGAATGTATATACTCGTGCAATTTGTACTCCCATGCTTTATTTATGTTTATCTATACTTATTTATCTATTAGTGACTTGCTTACATTTTCTCTATCTTATTCTGATATCCTGTATTGTAAATGTTGTTGTTGATGTAACTCACCCCCCCCCCTGCCCCTACTGGACATATGTGAAAATAGCTTCATAGCTCATCAGATTTCTCCTCCAGTATAAATAAAGATGATGATTTTGACCATGCAGGGAATGAAAATCAATTGTAAAAGTTTCAACTCTATTTAAAACACAATAAATGTGGTTCCTTTTCAAAACGCATTATTAGACGGCGTGTGTCGTGCAATTTCATGCGTTTTGAGTCTGGGTCATTGTAGCAAAGCCACCTGCTGAGTTTACATTACAATTACGGTATCTCAACTATTCTAGATATTTTATACAAATGAAAGTATGCATGTCTGCTCCGAATACAAATCCACACCGTTAAAGCTATCGCCACCAAACTTGTCAGAGTTAACATTTAAAACCCCGTGGAAAATCTGAGCCACATGGCGAGCCAACATTTTATATAGGGTGGGCCTGGAGCCCCCCAAACAGCACCCCCACACGCTCCCAGTGATGTCACCATCCCTAACCCAGCACGCATTAACCTGGCACCGCACATCTCACAGTTACATCATGCACCCCCTCCTCATCATCATCAAGTGAATCAAACATTTGCCGTTGTTAGATTTTGCATCACCCAAAACACCCCCGTTTTGGCGATTCCAATGAACTCGCCGCCATCTTGCCGTGGCAAGAGGAACATCGATCATGCACCAAAACGAATCCTCGCTGTATCGTATCGTAACCCCGTTGTGGGCACGTTGGCCCCATGGCACAGCAAAATCCTCACAATTGCTGCTGTAACGCCACTGAGCACCCCTCCTTCTGAAGACAGTGTTTGAGCCACTACTCTACGTTTCCTGCTCGTATTATATTTAACTAGCAGGAACTCGCAGAATTTCCGTGAGAATGTTATGGGGGGCAGAGCGCTACTTATCTGTAAACTCTTACAATTTCACCCGCGGACACAAAGATAAAGATCCCCCATATAGCCTGTAACAGACTGTTGGGACAAGTGCTGTTAGCGAGCAGCACATCTGAAGGCCCGAACGGCACGTGAGTGGGTGAGTGGGAAGGACCACGCCCGACCGCCGTTGTCTCCCTAGTGGCGGCGATGTTTACACACCGCACCAGTTATTCATTTTAAACTGAGTCGACCTCGGGGAGGCCCGGGACCGGTTTAGATAATCGTCACTGGTGTTGGGCTTGAGGGGGAATCGAACTCAGATCACCGGGTTTGTCGCTACACTACCGCTCGTAGACACACACTGTCAACACACACACACCGTTAATACAGCTGGCGGGAGGATCGCTCTGCAAAAGAAAATAGTTGGTGTGCGTTTCGATTGGCAATTGCGAGTAGACGTTTGCAAGCTGTTTTTTCCCTCCCCCACGCAATTTGTTATGGTTGTGACACAATTTTGACACTCGCGTTCTGCTCTTCCCGCAGGAATTTCCTACCAGCGCCTCATCAGGAGTGAACACAACCTGAAGACGAAGAGTTTCCCAGCGAAAACCAAGTGAGTTGGAGATTCCCCGGATGAACCCCCCACCCCAGGCCTGGTTTGTCACTAACCTGTGGTGTTCGCCAGGATGCAGTCTAAAGAACGTCTTGACTCTTGCAAGAATAACCTTAATAATAACTTTTAGCTGGTTGTAATCACCAGCAAAAACGTCGTACTCAAATTGTAAATGTTGTGTGTTTACTCTCAAATACACCGGTTTGCTGAAGTAGTAACTAATTGGCACGTTTTGTTTACGTGACAAACCTTATTAATTGGCTGTGTCGGGTGGTGGTGAGGTAAACGACACATTTCTATTTACGCGACCTAACCCAAAAAAACGTTATTATGAATCAGCCCATCATCCATCCCTCCGAGGTCGCTATAAATTGAGTACCACTTTGTGGAGATCTCAACAGTGGTTGTCCTATGAATAGAGTCAGCTCCCTGCCATATAAATGCATACCTGTCAACCCCTTATCACAGCCTATTTTATAACGGACCAATTCAGACCTTATTGGTCACCCCGTGCCCTTATAAATCTCAACGTCCATCCTACAATGTCCCATCACAAGGGTGAAGCACAAATATACAAAAATTATGTTACTAAACAGAAAGAGTTTTATGTATTCATTTTGATGATCGGTGTCAATGATGCTACTTATCATGCTACTGTCTGTGATCTTGCATGCTGATGCTTCTGCTTGCTTGATATGTGGATGCACACGCTCATGTTGTAAATGTACAACTTAATTTTATTATTATAAATTTTATTATGTTTTATTTTTATTATTTTATTACTTTCATTCTACGTGACTTTACCGAAAGAACCAAGAAGATGAATCCCTGCAGTCACGAAAGCTTTAAATCAAAATGTACAACGATACTCACCAGAGTAAAAAAAAAAGCTGTCCCACGACTTTCTTTATTTAGCCGTAATATTTATTTTTGCCCGTATTGAAACGATTGCACGCCATATGGACCTGAAAACTCAATTTCCCTGTACAAGAATACGCGTTAAACCGTATGGATTGACAGATATGTGAATGTGGAATGAAACACCACTGGATCAGGGCTGTAAAGAAGGGTATGAGCTCATTTGGCCAAATCACTTGGATTGCACCGCGTCAAATGTCAGACGCCAAGCATCGCTGAGGCCCCGTATAATGCTTGCATTCGAGAGAACCACCGTGCCCTGCAGACAGGCCTACGAAAGGCGCTGTAGGCAGTCGAGTGCTTTCACCAACCCTCATTCATCAAATTGCCGCACACTTTACTGCAAAGTGTCGCAAATTGTACTGCAAAGTACCGCAAACTATCTCAAGTTCACTGCAAAGTACAGAACATGACCTTCAAAGTGCTGCAAACTACCTCAAATTTACTGCAAAGCACCACAAAATTCCCCCAACCGCAGCGCCCCCTCCACGCCCTCTTGCGTAGCACCACCGGTGGAGGTTGAGGGAGGCCTTTATCCAGCAGTGGATTGACAAATTTTGGCTGTACCTTACACGTACATGTGCATGTTAATCCACATAATGGAAACGGCATGATGGTTTTGCTTCTAAAGTAAGCTATTTTTATTTTATCAGGTAAGGCCCACTGACCTATGTAGCTTTTTTTCAGAAGCGACCTGGCCACAAATGATAGCTCAACGAAGTGGCTTATCGTGTACAAATGTATAGCAGCCCAAATACTCTAAAATACGTGACGTTAATTCTAAATGTGGAGGGGGAAACCAGAGGACCCGTAGAAAAATCCACACGATCACGGGGAGAGAGAGAGAGAACACGCAAACTCCAAATATACAGCAGGCGTTAGGGTCGGGATCGAACCCACGACCTCCTGAATACCACACGAGGGAGATAACATCCTGCCAGCGCGGCATGACGAGGATCACCGGGGCCGTCTGAGCGCATTTGTCATCGTCGGCAACCTCGTCTTCCTCCCGCCTCCTCCTTGATCCCTCCCTCCTCCCCCTTCCTTCTCGCAGAACAATCTTCCTGCTGGACCCGGCAGAGATCCCTGCGGAGTTCATCGCCACGGTGGAGCAGGCCGTGCGGGCGCCGGTGCCCATCGACTACCGCACGGCGCTCATCCGGCGCGCACTGCAGGCCACGGCCGCCATGCACGCCGAGGGCGTGGAGGAGGCCCTCAGGGTACAATAATGGCCCTCTTCACTTGATCACTGTGTGTGTGGTGGGCGGGTTCAGTCGTCCATGAATAAACAACACTGCTACTGTGCCGTGATGCTGAGAAGCTAAGCAAGGTGGAACCTACACAGGGTGCTGTGGGGCACCACAGGGCAGGGCAATTGCAACAAAAGTCCACTGTTGTACTGTGCTTATGAATACGCTATGAACTACATATGCTCCCCACCTTCCCCAACTTGCGCTGACCAACGTTGGTGAAGGATGGTCAAATAACCCCCAATGGCCGACACTGCGTGCGTGTGGGAGGCCTTCATCTGGCAGTGAATGACAAAAGGCTGTTGTAGAGTGTACACTATTATTACTATTGTTGTTGTATACTAAAAACTATTTTATCAGGTGAGGCCCACTGAAGCGACCTGGCCACAAATTATAGCCCGACGAAGTGGCTTATCGTGTGAACGTTTATAGCAGCAGCCAAATACCATGAACACGCCACGTTGATTCTAAACGTGGAGGGAAACCCCAGAGGACCCGGAGAAAAATCCACACGACCACAGGGAGAGAGAGAGAGAGAGAGCGAGATACACGCAAACTTCAAATATACAACGGGCGTCAGGATTGGGATTGAACACACGACCTCCTGTATACCAGGCGAGGTAGTTAACATCTCCCAGCCACCGTGGTGCTCCCATAGCGGACATTGTCGTTCTTTGGTAAGTCGCTGTCAAATCACCGGGTGACTGCTATGGTATAAAACATCCTCTCAAGCAGCTCCACGATTTGGATGTATTGACCGCCGGGCCGTCTAAACCCCTGAGCAACTCAGCAGTGGCGTTGGACCGTTGTTTCTGCAGACCATGGGGGAGAAGGAACTGCAGCGGTTGTTTGAGCAGAGCGTGGATATGATGGAGGAGGCGGCAAGGAGAGAGAGCCAGGAGCAAGCCAGAGCCTTCCTCCTGGACGCCACCGCCGCTCTGCAGCAGCAGATTGTCGACGTCGCCTAGGACGTCTGGTGACGACCCCGCTCACGCTGCCTATGGTGAGTCTCACGGAGCCATTTAATTTTCACTCGGCGTGCAGGCATTGTCTGCGCTGTGGACAGCTGACTCCCCGAGGTCTCATTGTGGCTCCTGACATCGTGCAAAAGCGTATTGTGACCGCGACTCATAATAAATGTATGCATTTATTATTATTAGTATTAATAGTAGTAGTATTTATTAATATGCATTTGTTATGGAGTGTTGAGCTTCTGTCTCGCCGTACGTGGCCAACCATACTAATGGGAGGTGCGTGGAAAGGAGAACAAGTTCAACACAAAAAACAAGTTCTAAAGAAATTAATTTTCAATCTAAATTTAAAAGAATTGAAAACTCAAATGAGATGAGAGCAAGGCCTGAAGGAGCTGTTAACCATCCACCTCCCCATGCCGGTAGAAAATACTAAGTTGTTATTGGGTGAATTGAACCAGAATTCCTGGTTGTGTGCGCACTTCCCACCAGCTTACTCAGCTACTACGGAGTATAAGGACGAAGCTGCTTCTACATTTACATGTACCTCAAAGTGCCTTTCAAACCTGTTCCGTTTTTACTTCTCCTAAATCCATTTGTGCACAAACACAACACGTAATTGTCTCATCGCCTCACTACATTCGTCACTAATGATGCTTTCTAGCGATTAGTGAAATGCTAATCTGGCATTCAGAGCGGAGAGAGTTTGGCGAAGAGATTGACCGACGCTGCCCCCCATAAACATTGGAGATTGCACTTCGCACTGCAGCTCTTAGTTAAATCTCCTACAACGAGGTAAATCAATCTGGCCCTCTTCTCCCTCTATTACTCCGAACAAGAACGCCATTTCCTGCAATGTCAGCTGACTGGCTACGGCTAACATCAGTGGCGGGCGATGATTTGAACCGCCACTGTTGAGTTTCACACTCCACCCCCCCCCCCCCACCTTAATTTACCCGTCCGTACTAAACCATCATCGTGAAGTATGGACAAATAATCCCTCACCACCACCATCACCACGTCCGACAAAGTGTGCCGAGGGCTGAATGTGTGAACGTACACTACCGTACTGAGATTCAGAGTCACATCGTCAGAAAAAAAAAAACGAAGCTTTTACAACACGCGTAACTTTCACTGCCAATATTATCCACAAGGCTGATTATGCTGGTTGTTGTAATTACCGGCTTGATGTCGTAGCCGAATTGTCAATGTTGCGAGTTTCCTCTCCAACACACCGATGTGCTGGTCTAGTAACTAATTGGCATTTTTTGTTTACGTGACAAACCTTACTTATTAGCTGTGTCGGGTGGTGGCGGGTTTCACAACGCAATTATACTTACGCGATCTAACCCCGGAAAAAAAAAACCCTCCTTCATTATGGACGCATAAATTGTTTTACGACAACGAAATTCTCCGTGGATGTATTTCAAGTGAGAGACGCCCATCGGGGGTTAGCACAGCGGACTCGACATACAGAAGTCGCCAGTTCCAATCGATCTCCCGGCACGCAGCCAGTTGACGCAACGGAGGCCCACGTCCACCCGGTAGTCTGTGATCGGCAGGTTTGCGTATGGCGGGGTAAAGTGTGGGCACTCCCACCACTTCCGAGACGTCTGGCCCCTACTTGTGTATGTGTCTATGTTGAGCCCCTTTCGCACCATATGTAGTCAGCCATGCTTATCGGAGGTGCGGGGAAGGTCAACAAGGAAGGGCATGGAAGAGTTGGCTAAACTACCCCTCGATTGGAGCTCTCTATAACGCCCTAAAAGTGGAAACCTTTCTCTGTTATCATTGCCTTGAAAAGGCAATTGCACGGTTGCACCTTCACCTTGTATATTTTAAGAATAAGCAAACGCTTAAATGTACCTCAAAGCGCTTGTGAGGTTACACATACTGCAGATCAATCGATAAGTAAAATTCGGTTGGCAGGTGTTTAGCCCTATGCGAGGAACAGAACGTTATCTCGGTCCGTGCGTGCACTCGTTGGCTTCGTTAGCTCGAGGTGGAGGTGTGTGACGTGTCAGATTGTGAAATGGGACCCACAACGGCGCACCACGCTGCCCTTGGGTTTCTCAGAAAAACCGTGAACTCGTGTTTCTGAGCACGGAAGCAAAGAGTGTGTGATTGGAAGGCCAGCGCACGCAAGAGGTGCAACGGGCAGAGTGCTAACGGGAATTGTTGCAATGATTTTGAGAATGCTGCAAGGTGTGCACGCACGCGTGTGTGTGTGGTAGACCACATACTGCAGAGACGATCTGTGCGCTGTGGATGCCTTTCAACCACACAGAAGAATGTACTCGCACAATTTTGGTAATTCGGCAGTCGCTTTGTAAAGCACTTGAGTTTGGAAGCCACCGAAAGCGAAGCAGTTAAAATCGAGTGTCATTATTTTTAATTGGACTTTGCTACCGAAACAAAACAACAAAGGGCCCTGATGTTAACATGCTGGGCGCGCTCGCTAAAATGTCGGCGAGTGTTTTATTACAGATACAATTCAAACCTGCGAGCTGATACGACGTGGTTATCCGAAGAGTGTTTTAGGGGTGTCAGTCAAAAGTTTAGGTGCCTCGGTCAGTTACGTTGAGGGACAAAAAGAGGAACAGATGAAGTTAGAAAACATCCACGTGTTCATTGGCATCGTCCAAAAAGTTAAGAAAAGCGAGAAGGCTCGAGCTGGACCTGTCATGGCTCGGGGATGTCTCTGGAAGGGATGAAGGCCGATGGTCAATAATTATCATGGAGCGGCAGCCAAGGCATGAAACGCGGCCGAGAGGTTGTCCACCGAGGAGATCGAGGTGGGGGTGGCTCGGGAAGTAACTTCATCTAGCAGTGGATCCACCATGGCTGATGGTGCTGATGATTATAGCTATGCTAGCTTGACTGGTAGTTTTGACTTTCACCTTTGGGTTTACGCGAATGATGCAAATATTCGATGCTGCCGTGATGTGACTAAAACTAAACTATTTTTTTTTTTCACCGGGTAAGGCCCACTGAGCTATATCGCTCTTTTTCAGAAGCGACCTGGACACAAATGATCGCGCAGCAAAGTTGCTTACGTGGAAATGTATTGCAGCCAAATACTCTAAACGCATGTTGATCAAAAATACGGAGAAAAATCCACGTGACCACAGGGAGAATATGCGAACTCCAAATATACAACAGGAGTCAGGGTCGGGATCAAACCCACGACCTCCTGCATACCAGGCGAGGTAGTTAACATCTCCCCACCGTGGTGCAATGGTTAATACACTGGACTTGCAATCCAGAGGTCGCAGATTATATTCCATCTCCCTGCACGGCAGTTGAAACAATGGTGCAATTGTCCTAACCCCCCCCCTCCCCACCGCGTCTGTCCAGCCGATAGTATAAATAGGTGCACGGCAATTAGTCTATCAACAGAATGCGTGTGCGGTGAGGTAACGTGTGGATGCTGCGCCCACCTTTTTCAGGACGTCTGGCCAACCTCGATGAGTAAAACTAAAATACGCCCCCTCCCCCAGAGGGGCTCTCGAAGGCCTCCCCGTAGTAGAGGCCCTTTCACCAACTGGGCCTCCACTATGGGCCGCACCTTCATCTTGACCCCCACCTACTTCAACATGCGTTCCCGCGTGTCAAGCCTCAAACGCTTTAAAGTGGCGCATGCTCAGTGAGGGTTAAATTTCCCTTTGAGATGGAATATTTTCCCCTGCGAGAAAAAAAACCCACACACATCAACCCAATATCAGGCGTGAAGAAGCAAGGATGATGGTTTATATTTATATATGTATATAACTCCAGCTGCCTTATTGTCTTCCTGTGGGCAGACTTTAAACTGAGCAATATCCTTTCCTCGGATCATTTTTCAAGAAGTGAGTTATTGACGGAATACGCCCCGTGAAGCTACGGTGCCAATTGAGAGCAGATGCAAGGGGCTCGTTCAATTACCTTGCAGTCATAAAAAGTGCACAAATGCTGTGATCTCCCACGAGTCAAAGTTGTTGTGCATGTGGGATTGAATATGACAGGGCAAAACCATCATGGGGGTGAGGAATATATTTAGATTTCTAAATCGATGGAGACATTTTTTATAATTTTGTAGGAAGTCAACTAGTGGTATTTTTTTAATGATCAGCTGACTCCGGTCATGGTAATGTGGAATTTCCAGCACAGGCTCATGGTGGACAATGGGAGATAAGCACTGCCCAAGCGGAGATACACTTTGGTCTAAAAAAAATTGTAAGCGTACTGTAACCTCAATTCTCTCTCAAGATAACGTATCATCATCAGCATCCGCCTTGGTCATTCCACTGCTGGACGAAGGCCTTCCCAAGCTGCAGCCATCTCACACGATCCTGCGATGCAATAATGAATCTGCCCAGCACCTGCACACGAGCTGATTTCATCACTCCATCTCCTCCAGTTGGACGTATTCTAAGACTTGCTCCTTTCCTTCGCTATGACTGTCAGTAGATCTGCTAGGATATACATTCTCATTGTATGAATTGTACATTCAATTGTGCCCTTCCAAAATATATTTCCAATTGAATGTACATTATTTTCTTTTTAAACACAACCGTGTAACAATCATGCCTGTTATATATTGGAATCACGAGAATGTATTTTTAAAGTGCGTGTCCAAATGTAATCGTAAGGATTGATCAGCCTAATGTGAATATATAAAACCTGAAACGATATGAAATGCCTAAATATGAATTATAAAAATTCGATACACAAATATGTTAATTATATGAGCATTTAATAGTGTGTGTGCATTCGAGGTTCGGGGAGGTAACGCAGATAAGGGAAATACATGAATAATTAAACGTTACATATTTAAAGGCTGCTTCTTTAACTTACATTTGAAATGAAATGTACTCGTAATATCCACAGCGCGGATCACACTCGAGCTAAACATTATTATTGACAGAAAGCCCTATACAAATATCAACCTGAATTTATGTTATTCCTGCTATTAGCACAATGGCATAAACTACGACTGTGCACATGGTTATGAAAACATTCGAAGCATATTCTCTCCGATGTGTTTTTTGGGATTATATCATTCCAAAAAAAACACATCGTACACAATTCTGCTTCTCCACATTTATAAGCGTATACACAGTCGCACTTTATTCAATCGTGTCACATCAAATTTAAAGCATATTGTTTTACAATAAAATATATATACGTATAAAGTTGCAACGATTTTACTGCTGGATTAAGGCTTCACCGAGGCCGTTTCGCTCATGGCGGCTACTTGACCATACTTCACCATTCTGGTCACTACGAGTTGAGTGAAGGCGGTGCCCCAGGCCTGGTTCACTGGCCACTGACTAACTCAGGTAATCGGGTTCAGAGTGTAAGTGCGTGCTAACCTTTGCACTACCGCTTTCATTCAGTCACATGCTCAGACGACGATGGCAATGAATTCAATAATGATTCGAGCAGGCGCAATGGTGCTGATTGTTTTCATTACTTCATTACCATACAGACAGGGTGAAAATATACCCGAGTTACCATGAGCACGTTTTCAAAACGATGTATAATTCAAAACGTTTTGTCCTTGCCGTGTGCGTTTGTGTCTGTTTTTTGTGTGCGGAGCGGTGCTTTGTGGGGAGCTGTCGTGTCGTGGTTAGCACGCCGTGCTGCAAACCTCTCCCCTAAGTCGACTCAGCCTTGAATGAGTAACCTGGTGCAATGTGTAAAACATGAGCACTGGGGGGCAAAGGTGGCCGCCTGGCGTGGTGCTGGGCTACCCATGCCACTCGTGTGTTGTCCTGACCTTCATGTGTGCTACTCGCGATCAGCAATTGCTCCAACAGTCTTGTTTTATTTTGTGATGTGGTGCTGTTGTGGTCTTTTATCACAGCACGCCCACAATCCCAGAAACCTCCCCCCCCCGGCCCTGCTTAATTCTAGCTATGCATCTTAGCTCGGCGAGGAGGGTCTCCCGGGTAATCTCGGCATAAATGTGGGTCATGGTGGAGTGCAGCGGTCTGTGTTATCACGGGAGAGATAAAGAGGGCTGGGACTGGTGGTGACCGTACCACGCTCTCGTGTCTCATTGCGGCCTTTATTGGGTGCCCACAGAGTGCCCGTTGACCAGCTGTCTGTGAAGATAAAGGGCAGCCTCTTTGCTGATATCTGTAGTTACAGAAGCTGGCTGTAACATGGGCTCACCACTACTTCTCTTAGAAAATACTATCCGTAAAAATGGTGTTCATGTTCCTAGTTTTGTGATCGAATATGCACGGTAATTATACGTAGGGTGTTAAGTTCGTCGATGTTGCAGGTCATGTGTGGTGGGCTAAAGCGTGGGTACTTTCCACCTCGTATAAGACATCTGGCTGGTGTGGATGAAGAGGTGGCCACACTTGAGAGAAAGGGGGGAGCATCTCCATCATGAGGCTTCCTTTGCCAGTACCAAAATATACTAATAGGGGTTTTTCCCCTTTTTTTCTGGCAACAAAACTGACACCTTTTGCAAGGAGTCATGTTTACATTAACCACAATACTTGCAGTCAAATGCAAACAAAAACAATACTCTGATAATGTATGCATTGTCCTTGAAACTGATTGGTCCACACCAGAGACAGCTTTCCTTTTTTTGTTTGCATTTTGACTGCAAGTATTGTGGTTAATGTTAACATGACTCCTTGCAAAAGGTGTCAGTTTTGTTGCCAGAAAAAAGGGTAAAACCCCTATTAGAGAGGGGGGAGGCTGTCTATGTAAATCTCCCTCGAGCAGAGGAACTTCCGTCAGCAGTGGTGTGAGCAAGCAATTGCGGGGCTGCATCTTTCGCATGAACGCAACATGTGGCAGAATTTTTGGTAATATGATGATTTTCTTATTTATTAAGGAATGCCACACTGAGTCATATGACTCTTTTTCAGGAAGGTCCAGTTTTTTTGAGCCAATTCGTGATGAAGGTGTTTATAATACCACGTGGAAGGAAACCGGAGCACCCGGAGACAACCCACACCTTGCGCGTGAGGTGGGCAACGCTCTATCCCTGTACAGATGGAAACAGATGGCGATCAGTCCACTTGCTGTACCGCCTTTTTCTTGCAAGCCAGGGTATTGCACCTCCTCAACGCCCACGGGAAGGAAGTTTCACAGCATGAGTGCGATGATCCACCAACTCGGGCCGGCTGCTGTCTGGGTTACAGGCCACGTTGCTTTTCAACATTTTCTTTTTTAGATTCTCTTCATTCACATTTCTGACGCATGGTACGTTCCAAGAAATACAGGTCGCAGGCCCTTATTTCCAGAGTTCATCTGTTGCAATGTTACGGGATTGGCTTCTTAAAATAAAGACGTGAGTGGTGGGGAAAGCGGAATGATGGTGGCAGTGGTGGAGTCCTCTCTTTCATTATAACGAAGATCAAGTGGACGAAGTGCTGCCTTTGTTGGGGATTTGACGGCAGAAATAGGTCACAGGTGGCTCGTTTTGTTGTTTGTTGTTGCTGCTGCACAGACGGCGTGGGCTCTGAGCGAGGAGGGATGGAGGTGACGGGCGAGGGAGACTGCACGGCGGCGTGCCTCGCTCACGTCTGGGACAAAGACAACCTCAGTGAGGAGCGGGTTCACGTCGTTGCGCCTTAGATTTGACTTTTTGCTTTGTCCCTTTTTCGTTCATTTTAAACTACACTACTCAACTAAACTTCTACTTTACCAGGGAAGGCCCACTGAGCTATAGAGCTATTTTTCAGAAGCGACCTGGCTTTCACAAATTATAGCTCAACTATGTGGCTCATCATGTATACATTTATAGCAGCCCGGTTTTTCGACATTTATTGACATTGCATTTTACCCTCTGTTACTCTCCAACTGAACCGATGAACCCCAATTTGGATTATGCTGCCCGTGGCAAATTGCCACCCACGTGCTGGCAGACAAATGCCATTTGCAGGTCAGGTGCCGAGTCACCTCGTGCGCACAACAGGGACATCTGCTGCTGGAGATGCCCTTTCAAATGTGTTCGCACGAGACGCGATGTTGAGCGCATAGGGAGGGGCCCTGTATCAAAGAAAACAAATGATTCTCGTGGTCTCCACGCGGACGGAAGCGTGGCACGTGGTTTGCATCGATGAGGGTACCCATCCACCCCCCCAACCCCGTGCGTGCACAGATTTCCTCTACCAGATGCTGCCAGCGGAACACGTCCCCAGCATGGACTCAATGCCCGGCGGAGAGGGCTCCCTGACCGCCGCCCCCTCGCCACGGGACTCGCTCCTCTCGGACACGTCCTCCTACGCCGAGGACGACAACTTCGCCAACCTGCTGTCCTGCAGCAGCGACAGCGGCTACCTGGAGGACGATCCTGCCGCGGCGCTGCAGGCCGCGATTGAAGCGGACATCGGGTCCGGGGCGCGCCAGGCATGCCACGGCGTTCCCTGGCAAAGCTCGGCACAGGACTCCGCAGGGGGCCGGGAGATTTTACGGGCGGACTTCACGACGACGACAGCGAAGACGACGCAGGCAGAGGAGCAGCCCCCGTCGTACGAAGAGCTGCTGCCGCTGGCCTTGAACGGATCTCGGGATGTGCGGTTGCGCAAGAGCTGCACGCTGCCAAGCAAGCTGGCAAACAGTCGCGAGCGCACGGGTTCCCTGCCCATCATCTCTGGGCCCTTTTTCGGCGAGTCCAAGCCCGCGCAGAGGTAATGGCCCAATCCGTCAAAGTCCCGTTGTCGAAAGGCAGAAGATAAGCAATGGATAGATCGTGTTGTTGCAGGCACGCATCTGGGTGTGTTGTGTCTCAGATGTTCATTCAGACATGACGTCGAAGCTCAATGAATGAGAAAAAAAGGCGTCAAAGTTACTTTCAGGCATAATGCCATAACCTTCTAGTTACATTCCTGAAGCATAACTAATGCAATATCAGGGCAGGCATGTCACTTAACGCTTTGGCAGTGCACTTAAAAGTCCCTTTATAATATGTATTTTCCTCATTAACACGGCACTCAAGTCAGACGCTCCGAGGCATTGTAGACCAGATTGTCATTCAGTCATCGACCTTGCTTGGGTCGCAGTCATCCAGAGGCGGGCCGTCAGGGCTAGCAAGGCTTTTTCTGCGGGCCTAGAGATTGTCAGAATCGGAATTTTTTTTATTATCATTTATTATATATTTTTTATTAATTATTTCTGTCTTTTACAAAGTTCGTTCCCATCAGTCTATTAACGTCATTTCATTGCTATTCTCTCCATCAGTTGCGCTGCTTCCAGTGCAGCTCATAAATTAGAGCTTTTATCCAATCAGATTTTCCACCTGTGCTGTCTCCGCCTCTCCGGGTGAAAAATCTTTCCTTGAGGCCTTGAGAATGTCGAGTGAATCCCCTCTGCTGTTGAAGCAAATGGGGACGATGTTGTTGATTGTCATAATATTTAACCAATCCGATTTCGAGTTTGCCATGTTGGGCGTATTCTTTGACACGCCCGAGCCTTCTAACTTGCCTAGCTGCCTACGTTAGCATTTCTCGTGTGGCGTGATCATGAGGCTAGTTAGCTAACTGAAGTAAAACTAGCTAGCCCGTAACGTAGCATCATCTAAGATTTATTTAAACTTAATTTTGTGACGTTTAGATTTTTAGATGTAGTGCTTTCGATTTTTGGGTTTTTTTTTTCTGTGGGGAAGCCTGTTGAATTCTTATTATGTTATTTGTGTTCTACGGAATTTTTGCTTGCTTGGTGGTCGTATGAGTAAATGTGACTGGTTGTTGGTTGTGAGTTTATTCTTGTTTCTTTGGTAATGACATTGATTTGGGCTATGCGATGTCTATTTGTGATGCAGCATCCTGTCATACTGCGTAATAGTGGTACATCCTTGATGGTTTAAGTCACCATATATTCATGCCTCTGCAATTCGTGCATTGTAACTCTCATAGGTGAATATGGGGTCGTCATGTCGAATGACAATAGCCTATAGTGTCATGGTGAGGTTATTCAAAGGCGGTTTAATTGCGGGAGGATAGCACTGAAGGCCTAGGTGTCAAATACACGGCCCGCCACTGCAGTTATCCCTTAGCGGTTCTGCGGTCACCCAGAACAGGCCATGGAAGGTACGTAGCGATTCAATGCCCAATTCAAAAATTCGAAGGAGGCATCACAGCGATGCACTTTGCTGCTCACTGACGCAAGTATCTGGCTCAAGCACCTCAATGTAAAACTATAGTTGTTGCTCTACACCAGGGGTGGGGAACGTCCGGCCCACGAGCCGTATAAGGCCCGCAAAATCATTTGATGTGGCCCTGCCAAGGCAACCGCAGGCAGGACTCGAAATTCAATAAATCTAGGAGCAAACCTGGAAAAGCAGTTGCGAGTAGCAGCAACATCATCAATAGCAGCTAACATCATCACACGCCTCGCCAAAGAGAAGCAGTTCCAGCCATCACATTTGGAGTGAGTTATTTAAATGTTTGACCAAATATAACAGGCTAATTTTTAAGTTGATAATTTTTTATTGCCAGCGAATGATATTATAAATATCCAAATGGCCCTGGGCAGAAAAAAGGTTCCCCGCCCCTGCTCTACACATACGTCAGCCATACGAAGAAGATTAGTGGTCCTTTACAATTCTTATTTACTTATCGTTTCATTGGTTGAACAAGATGGAACGCCTCTTCTTTAGTTATCTTGTTAGGGTTTAGGGTGCGTTTCATGCCGTGCGCTCAAGGGGGACATTATTTGTGACCCCGTTGAACTTGTCTTATCGCTTGCGCCGAGTCAAACCGGGGTGTTTGTAACCACGACGTGTCCAGGACCCTGTCGCACAAGATCTCTCACCGGCTGGGCCTGCTCCGGGACCGGTTGTGCCGAGCGGCCGTCGCCTCCGGCCAGCCGGGCAAAGCCGATTCGCAGTTCGGCTTCACTGAGCAGCCAGACGTGGGCGCCATGGCCAAGCTGCAGCTGCGCGAGGTGGCGGCGCAGTGGCGGCGACGCGTCGCGTTCGGGGCGCAAGGCACTCGGCGTCGCCACTGCAACATCATGCGGCTCGTGGCGTTCGGCGAGGACCACATCCTCGGAAAGCTGGCGCGCGCCTACAACCGCCTCTGGTGGGTGGTGCTCGACCGATTGGCAAAAAAATTAAACAAAAAAACTCCGTGAAACTGTTGTTTTTAATTTGGCCAGATAAGGCCCACTGAGCTGTACGGATATTTTTCAGAAGCGACCTGGCCATCGCAAATGACAGCTCGACCAAGTGGCTTAAATTTATAGCAGCCCAAATACTCTCAGACGGATGTCGATTCTAAATGTTGGAGGGAAAAACCGGAGGACCCAGAGGAAAATTCCAAGTGGCCACGGCGAGAGAGAACATGCAAAATTCAAATACACAGGGGCCAGGGTCGGGATCAAACCCACGCGCTCCTGTATACCAGGCGAGGAAGTTAACGTCTCTCCACTGCGGCGCCCACTTAAGACTCTCGAAGTCCTAACGCAAGAGAACCACGGTGCAGTTCTTCAGGAACTGCTGGTCGTTGTTTTTCTGGTGCACGCTTTTGCATATTTTATTTTTTGCCTGTCCTGTTTTTCTGTTCTTATTAAAGTTGGAGTAAAATTTTATTTGTTACACAGCTGATCCCGTTTAGCCAGTTGCCTGGCTATTCTCCACAGGAGATCCATGGTGCGTGAGCACAGCAGCAACAACAAACACAAAGACAAAAACATCATTATTTCAGAGAACGAATACACGGTCCTGAAGTAATATTGCGCAATTATGATAGGTTGGCCTATCATTAAAATATTTTATTCCTGAAGTTTCCATTGTAATAAATAAATAATCGCTCCTTCCCATATTTCTGTCTGCACATAATAAATAAATAAATTGGTTCAATGCTCACAAATTCTGGAATGTGTTTAAAATGCATTGTCTTCATCCATTGAGTCGAGCTCGCTTGAAGTAATGCTGGTGACCTGCCCAGTGTTTATGGGCAAAGACCGTAAGAAATGGAGCCGCGTTTGATGCTGAACTATACACTGTAATACATACTGATTTTGTTATTAACATATTGCACACCTAAGCTTAATCGTTATTTTGCATTGTTTAATAATGCAGTACAATGTCACGTATTTGCCTTGTCCAGTTAACCACCCACAATAGTATTTGTGCCGGTGTAGATATCATTGTTCACATATCCCATATTTACCCACAGCCATCGATATCTCAGTTTCCAACGAATTGGCACTAACTGTGCAGTAATAATAACGACAACAGTATTGTTTATTTCTTGTTGGCAATGTAGGAAAGTGGCTGACTCCTAATCGAAAAGTCGAGGATACATTGGGTTTTTTTTACCCAGTAGCCTATTATTCCAAAGGCATCGATAATATAAATTGCCAATGTTTTGTGGAAATGGACGACGGTGGTGGCATGGAAACACACGACTTTAGTCCCACTCACGTGCAATTCCAGAGCAAAAAGGATTGCTTTGCCTTTTTTAAATTAAGATACGGGGAAGCTTTAAATTAGAGTATTGCGGCATGTGCTAAATGCCATGATAAAGCCACAACGTCATGGGTATTTGTATGTGTTGTGTAAGGAGCCAACTTTTCCATTTGCACACACAGGATGCAGGAACTGTGGAACCCACAGCTGTTCCGCCACTACCGGCTGGAGATATTTTACATTCCACTGGCACAGAGGCTGTCTTCCTCGGAAACAAACTGCAACTCCAACTCTCCTCGGAACAGCTTTCAGACGACGGTACAGTCACTCCTCCATTTGCCCCCTATGTCTCTCTTTCCTTTTCCACTACGCAGCTCAGCCATACTGGGGCCATGCCGAGCCAGCCGGAGCATCTCGGGGAGGCGCCAGGTTTCTTTTTCTTTTTTTTGAGATGCCATGCGGGTGACATGGTGACACTTGTTGTTTGAGTCGTCCAGTGACTAACGTCACACGCTCTGCGTGCTGCCTGGTGGGTCGGTCCATTCCGAGGGCCGGTGAGCCAGGCTGTGTGGATAAATTGTAAATGTGATCAGAGTAAAAAATAGAAATTTTGTTACATTTAAATATTATATTACCTATAATGTGTACGCTCCATTGCTTATTTATACTCTTAGTTGGACCCATATTCGGCAGCCACAAAGATTCCTCCCCACCGGCCATTTGTTCTTTGCACCCAGCCCCAAATGGGCCAATAAGATCGCACGGCAATTTACAAATGCCTGGGCCGATTATTTGTCCCAGTCTGTCACTGATAGCTGTTAGCCATATCCAGGTGTCTTTTGAGGCCAGCATATCACGGTTTGGTTCTGACTCGGCACGACTAATAGCCAGTGAAAAACAAAACTACCCGTACTATAGCCAGTGAAAAACAAAACTACCCGTACTATGAGGGTCCTGTGCTGGCTCGGCTCGGATGTGCCAGTGGGAAAGCAGTATCAATGTGCAAACACTATTTCATTAAGCCACATAACTCGAGTTAGGCGGTACTGTGATGCCACATTTATATTAAACTCGACTTGAGCTGCATCTCGAATTCTCCTGGACTATTTCGCTTCAGGCCGGTCTGAATTCCCTTACACCATAATTTGGTTCCGAGCAAAAATACGTCACCAAAAAAAAATGTTAAGTCAACAATGGTGAAGTTGGCGGAATTATTCTATGACGCATTTGACATTTGATTTCGTAATAAATGAGCTCTTGACCTTTTTACTCGCAAGTACTTCTGCGAAAATCTTACTCGGAAGGATACCTTCTGCGCACATGTCATGTAACTCCGAAAATCACAGAAATGACAAAAAAAATTCTAAACAACTCAAGTTGTCCTTCACCTTGAGTTCAGGCCACCTCAAGTCTTCTCGAATCGCTTGCCCAAAGGAAACTAGGTTTACTTTGTATGTGTGTGTGTGTCAGGGCTACGTTAACAAGCGTGCAGTGGGCACAGCAACTTAGGGCCCATGTCTGAAACGGAGCCCTCTACTGACAGGCCTGTAGTTAGGGCATGAGTGGTCATCTTGGCGCATTGGACCCTCCTAGTGATGTAAAACTATACAACTGTTTTCAAAACTAAAAACTATATGTGGGAATGGTTTTGTAGGGTCCACAAAGATAGCCATCAATATGAAGTGGCATGGCAAATTAGGTACCCGATTTAAAATCAGTTGTCTGCCCTCGGGGACACATTCAGAATCGATGATGATACAGGATAGGAGTGAGTCAGCCTCTGGCCTGAGGGGGCATCGGTGGCTATGTCTGCTTCCAGCTACGTCTCTATGGAGACTGCATCTCACGAGTGTTATCCTTTGGTTCGTGTGGTGCAGTACAGTGCCTGTTAATTTGGGAATAACGAATTGTCGAATCGTTGTTTTTATTTACCTTCCCTGCAACCATTGGTTGAACTAGAATGCACCAAATACCATCCCCACTCATCCCCACATCAATGCAGCTTCTTTCATAATCAGAGGCGGCATCATGCACCAGGCCCTAATGTTCCACTGGCACATATTGAAATATGTGTGCATGTCTTATCAATGCAAATAATTTTGTCATGGCATTGGGCAAATGTAAAAAAAGGTTTAAGAGCATAACTTGATCACATTTTTCAGCTTTAGATTTCAAAAAGTTTATCTTGCCATGCTTTGCATTATATGTTTTAAGGAATTCTTGAAGTGTCTTTGCACTGCCATCATGCCGCGAAATGTTGAATTTTCCCATTTGAAATTGTCACAACAAGCAACGTTAGCACCTGATATTAGGCCTAGAAGGGACCCCAGAAAAACAATATCACACCGCTTGCTTCATATAAATGACCAGGCTGAGGCCGTCCGAACAATTCTACTCAAAATAATTCGAATGAGGATCTCGATCTTTTAAAGCCGAAAATGCCCTTCAACCATTTTTCGTCAAATAATTCACCCTTTTCAGGATTTACGTTGCCTATGGTTACCGACAGGCATGGTGCCAAAACCGACGATCGTGTTGATTAAAAATGACATCGATTTTTTCACTGCTACGCGCAGGACAACGACTTGTTGAAATCGGATGTCCTGATGAACATTGGGAACTACCTCGGTTCTGTGGATCCGTGGTACGACCGCAACGTGCTGTCCCTCTACGACATGCTGCCCACGCTCCTGCCCAAGGTGAGTGCATTCCACCTCTGTCTCAACCCATGATGATGATGACAACGCCAGTGGTACTAATGATGATAAAGACAATAGCTGATATGGTGTGTATAACGTTGATCATAATTATTGGTGTCTTTTGTTAAGTAACCGAGCGTTTATTGCTCATAACATACTGGCTATAATGACGATATCATGATTCGTTTTTTTGGACAGAGCACCCTCCAATACGACGCGGTGTCTCAGAGAGCTTTGCATCTCCAACACGTTTGAAAGGGCAACCCCCTGACCCCCAGTTGGCAGCTATCAAAGTGCAGCACGGGGCTCTGACTCAGCAACCCACTCTGACAAACGAGCAGCATCAGTCTGCCAGTAGGGGGGAGGGGAGGGGGGCGATGATCGCCCACCTGTATCTATGTACGTGTACGTTGAATTTTTTTCACACCGTACGTAGCCAACCGTGCTAATCGGAAGTGTGTTGGAAAGGACAACAAATTAAACACAAGAAGCAGTTTTAAAGAAATTTGTTTTGAATAGCGATTTAAAAGATTGAAAACTCAAATGGGATGAGGGCAAAGCTCGAAGGAGCTTTGCACCATCCATCTTCCCATGTCTTGGTGAGTTCCGGTCGAATATACGAAGTGATTGGGTGAATCGAACCAGAATACCTGGTGGTGTGTGCACTACCCACCAGCTTACTCAGCTGCTACTGAGGATATGGTTAAAGCTGATTCTACATTTAAATATACCTCAAAGTGCTTTTCAAACCTATTCCGTTTTTACCCCTCCTAAAGGAGAGAAAACTAAACACAAAATCCCAATCGAAGCAACTCTGAATTTGTTTCAGACGAGCTCCAAGGATGAGGTGAGCAACTCCCAGAAGGAAGTCAGCATGCTCATGGACATGATCCTCTACTACTGCCAACATGCGGCACATCCTCACCCCATCCCTCTCTACGAGATTGAGGTGAGACACAACGAGCGCATCTCGGTCTGATGCACGGTTTCCTCTTTTTTTTGGTGGCATCTCTGATAATGGCCCACGAGTGTGCTTAATTGCACGCGAAAGAGCCCTTTCAACAACCTCTGGCATCTCTGGTGAATGGTATTTTGTTTGCATTCGATGCTGCCGTGACGCGAAGGTAAGCGCACCGGAGGAATCTGGAGGTTGCCGGTTCTATTCCGTCTCCCCGAGCGATAGTCGAAGCAATGCTGCAAGTTTATTAAGCCCCCCCCCCCCCTCCTCCCCCGTCTCTATATATTCGGGCACACGGCTGTTAGCCAATCACCAAGAACACGTGTGGCGGGGTAAAGTGTGGGTCCTCCCTGCCTCATGAATCCTCCTCCACCTGACACGGCCAATTACTAAAAGTGTCACGTGCATCAAGCGAGCCAAATTACTGCTACTGCTTCAGCAGCACCGCCAGTGCGTTTGTTTGGAGAGGAATCTCACAAAGAATTAAAGAATTAGATGGGAACGATGTTTCGCTGGATGACGACGATGATGCATCCAGCATCATCAGGTTGTTGACAGGAGCTGGATTTAGTCTCCAGTGAAACGTTGCACCTCGTGCAGATGTTGCGAGGGTTCCTCTCCAATAACAACAGTGGTGGTGCTGCTGTAGCGGTTATAAATTCGACACCTTTTATGCACGCGACTCATTTATTCTATTGGCTGTGTCGGGTGGTGGACGGTTTACGACACACGGCCAAACCCAAAAAGACACCAATTATGAACCGTAATATCGGTCGTGACAGCCTACGTATATAAATTAAATAAGAGAAGGATCTCACCCTCCAGACACAGATTGAAATTCCCGCCTCGTATTTGGGTTCTCAGTTGTAGCCCATCCCCTCTGCTACAGCGTTTCTCCACTGAGCAATGCTGTTCTAAACTCGTTGAAAACGTTTTAAATGTACGGTGGAGATTACTCAACAGATTTGTCTGTCTCAAATAAACATACCTGTATATAATCGGCATGGATTCTATTTGAAACGCGTCGATTATATATTGTAATTTTTTTAAGGCCACCAACGTTTGTTGACGAGTATTGAGGTTTTTTTATTGTGCTTATGTACCACTGACCAATGAAGCAGCAGCAGCAGAAAATCATCTGAAGAGATTATGTACTTTGACGATAATACCTATGCACACTTCTTACTGATAATATTAAGTAAATTGCCTTGTACCCCCAGTCCGCAATGGGAGATGAAGTCTGCTCTGTAAAATGTACTCTCGCTTTCTCTGCTACCCCTTATTCTCGCCTGCTGGGATCTGTTCGATCGCCTCCTTTGCAGAGACAGGACCCATCTCACGCCCCCACACTGGGCTGGCTCGTGCATCACAGCCAGTCTTTCAAATTGAGAGTTCTTGGCATTCATCATTAATCTCACCGCTACTGGCGGTCGTGAAATTTGTCACATGCATTCACTTCACAGTTTAACCCCTCATACCCCTCGGTGTTTTCAGCCACAACGGCGCAATGTCCCGATATTTCGATCCATGCGCCGTGAGTTTTTTTCCAATGTCTGAATGAGTATCTTTGAGAGCTCTGGCTTCCCAAGACGTGGAGAGAAACGTTGGACAGCGCGCAACGAAACCCCACAAAAAACACGTCGGAGAGCCATGCGGCGCAAACCGCGAGCGCTTACACCCGGAGTACCGCGTTACTCTGCCTGTCGGTGTCCTTGAGCCGGCGCTCTCGCATCATTGCAGATCACCCTGGCTTCTGGAGACGTCAAGAAGGAGGTTTTCATTTGCCAATTGGAGCTGGGATTCCTGGCGGATCGCAGGGCCATCTTGGCAGCAGGTACTGCACTGTGATTATTCACTGAGGGTGCCCAGGTGGTGTAATAAGTGCTGGAAGTGAAAGGGGTGGGGGACTATGGTAGGGAGGGGGGACGGTGGGCAGCCACTGGGAGTGTTGTGGACACGTGGCCAGACACCCCCGACATGTTTATGCACGGCTAAGAGACAGCCACAACATTTTTGGGTCAGCATTGCTTTTACAACAACAATTGTTTTGTTAACAATACTGATTATGTTGATAATGATAAAATTTGATAGTCATCGAACAAAGACGGTCACTGCATCGCGCGCTTTCGGATGCGCTTCTGCGGCCGTCTGGAACGCTCTTCCGATTTTAGGAAGCCACCTGAACCGTGCACTTTCACATCTAGATTGAAAAATATTTTCTTTAAAACTACTTTTTGGTTTAGTTTGTTGCCCCCCCCACCACCCCGCACCTCCGATTATCGCGGTCGGTCACGTGCGGTGCGAAAGAAGTTCAACATACTGTGCATACATATTTAAAGGCATAATAGCACATGAACGGTAGACTCAGCGCTGAGTCGATATCGCCAGTAGTTGCATATACAGGGTGCTTCAAAAATGTTTTAACACTTCTGAGAATTTGCAACACTACCACCAGAAATGTGCCTCCGGGCTCTGGAGACCACCTGGAGAAGGTTCCAGGGCACGTGTTGACAATGATGGCAAACAAGTGGAGACTTTTTTTTTTACTTTTTGAAGCTATTAACATACATTTGTTATCATGTTACAGTGCATTATCCGTTCTTTTTCCATTAAATACAATAGTCCTATTATAATTGTTAAAAAAAATTTGAAGCACCCTCTATTTGATACGATTATAGTGCAGTAGAACTCCTCTTATATTCCGTGGTGAAGTGGGGGGGGGGGGGGGTGGACCATGTCTACAATCTCATTACTCTCACCACCGGGCACCATTTCTCTCATCACGCACACCCCCTAGCCTCCACAACGTGGCTGTGCCCCGACCCCCGCGCCCCAAGGGTCAGGTCACTGAGCCGACACGCCCGAGGTCCCTGGGTTTGAATCTGAGTTTCAGCCACCGCCAGTGACTAAACGGTGAATTGACCATCGAAGTCTGGTCACCAATGACTGTACAGTACAACATCATCCCCTCATTGCAGCTCTCTGAATCGCTTGGTTTGATTGATGCGTGGCAAGCGATCGATACGGGCCATTAAAAGATGGCGGCGCCCGTCATGTAAATGCTCATATTGCGTAATGTAATTGCTTCCATTCCACATTTGCCGTGCTGCTAACACGACACGCTCACGGTTGTCTACACGCAGGGTCGGCTCAGAAGCGATTTGGGATCGAAGGTGACAGGGAAGCTGTCCCCGTCCACCTGCAAATCGCCTACTGCAAGGTAAGGACAAATTCCTGGCTTGGAGCAATTCAGTTACTCTCTTGGATTTTTCATTCTACCCCGTAACAATTAAATGCAATCGTTTATGTGGGCGATGCTCAATGTAGTTATAGACTGGCGCCCAAAACCATAGGAGCTGTGGAATGTTCCCCACGTGCCTAGCAACACCATTTTCTCCCCGTGATTGTGTGGATTTTTCTCCGGGTCCTCTGCTTTTTCTCTCCACATTTAGAAAAACATGCTTTTAGGGTATTTGGCTGCAGTACATTTTCAATATGATAAGCCACTTTATTCGGCGATCATTTGTGGCCAGGTCGCTTCTGAGAAAGAGCTATAATGCTCAGTGGGCCTTACCTGGTAAAATAAAATATAATTTTTAGTTCTAGTTTATCCTGTGCGTGGTGTGCCATGCGTGGAATACAGACTGGGCTGCGAGATTGACGCCCCTGCGGTATTGTTATCATTCCCAGACGAGTCTGAGCAAGCGTATTCATTGGCACACCATGGAGAAGACCTGTACCTCGGTCAGGATCGTACAAAATGCCGACAGAGGTGAGGAGAATGCGGCGTGTGTTCGCGTTCCCCTGCAGGCCCACCCACTTTTACTGCCCCGTGCGAGCTCCTTTCCAAACGTTCATTACGTCATTGCACCTCTTTTTTTTTGGTGCAATATGCCTTTTATTTACTTGGTTTTCACTATTCTTGGTTCTTTCGGGAAAGTCACGTCGAAGGGAAATAATAAAATAAAAATTATAATAAAAATAAACATTATTTTATTATTTCCCTTCTACGTGACTTTACCGAAAGAACCAAGAATATGAATCCCTGCAGTCACGAAAACTTTAAATCAAAATTTGGTTTTCACTGTTAACCGTTGTTCATGAAACACTACTTTTGCTTGTGCCACTGATGTGTTGTTTCGTTGTTGCCCGTTCCTCCGTACGGATCACTCCAACGTTGTTGTTTAGTGCAGAGAGCGCCACGGATCTCCCTTGCAAACTAGCTTGGCTAACTAGCTAAATGGGACTTTCCGTGCCACAAATGAACATCGATTGGTTGTGCGGTGGCTGACCGATTTTAACCGTCGGCTTTCTTACGCATGTTCAGGTTGTCGCCGCGTTTTGTTCGGCACGAAGTCTGACGTTTCGCAGCAAGTTTCGTCATTACTAACCCGCCGGATGCCGTGCCCAACAAAACGCTCCATACAACACGAACAACAAATTATAGAGCCGTGCAGCACGACCGTCAAGAGCTGTGCAGTCGTATTAACCATCGGCTGTTATATAATGTAGTTCAGTGTTACATTATATTGGGTTGTTTTTTTGTCCTGTTGGGTCGATTGCAATATCACAGTCTGTTAAATATGAAATGTTTGTTCCATTATCGCAAGCCCCCACTGACTACAGAATTATATGTGTTGCTAGGACCTGTTTGTGGATAGAGATTTATAACGCTTCTCACCAGGCTCTCAGCCTTTCTCTCTCTCATTCTCCCTGCTCTATTCTGTGACGTTTCAACTAATCCTGTTCCATATAAGATGCGTGGTCAGGCGTGGGTATCATACCCCTATAGGTCCACCAACTCTGGGTGATCATACTGAGTATCCTGTACACAACATCTGTAGAGACAGTGGGTATGTATATCGAACGTTTTTCGCACAATACATAGTCAACCGTGCTTACCGAATTGCAGTGCAGCAAGTAGGCTGCTAACCTATTTGCGAGGAGCTGCAGCATTCACTTGGGAAACATACTAAAAGGAATTGGCCATTATCCCAGAAGCTTTTTGACGAAGGGGGTAAGCAAATGCATTGTAAAATGTTAAAAAGAATGGTTCAAATTTACAATTTATATTTCATGTCACTTCTGGTGGAAGTGCCTCCGCTTAAAGCAAAATCTAGAGAGCCCGTCTAGAGGGGGGGGGGGGCGGCGTTTGGCCTACTTTTCTATTCTGGCCAGACGTCTTGGAAGAGGTCGAAGTACCGACGCTTCAACCCCACCACACTTGACCTGCCGATTGAATAACCGCGGTGACCCATTAATACACCGCTGGTTGGACAGAGGCCCGGGTGGGATTTGAGAAATTTGCACCGTTGTTTCAACTGCCGTCCTGCAAAACAATCAGAATCGCAAGAGAATCAGAATATTTATTTACACTGGAGGAGTCCGATGAGCTGTCAAGCAATTTTTCGCAGAAGTCCAGTGTTTATCGTGAGCTACGGTCGTGAATGCGTGTTCACGTTTACATTCTTCGTCACAACTCTGGAGCCTCAGTTGACGCTTTCACAGAATTAATTTTGAATTAAATCCTATTCTTTGGTTCTTTCGGTAAAGTCACGTCAGTGAAAAAATTTAATAAAAGAAAAATATATATAATGAATAAAAATAAATCACGACGTTTCGATTGCAACACAAGCAATCATCATCAGGTGTGACAACCACAGCAAGAAAATTTGTAAAAAAAAATTGCTGTGGTTGAAAGATGTTCTTGCTGTGGTTGTCACACCTGATGATGATTGCTTGTGTTGCAATCGAAACGTCGTGATTTTTTTTTTTCACCTACGTGACTTTACCGAAAGAACCAAAGAATATGGATCCTTGCAGTCACGAAAACTTCAAATCTAGAATGAATGAAATCCTACTTATTGTAATAACACTATAAGTCTGACTGAGCCTCAACGCTTTCGCAGGAGGAACCAGTGTATATGGCATGGTCGGCAAAATGCAGATTTAACAAAAGTTTTTCTGTGTAATTGCGCCAACAACAATACATATAATGTCATCGTCTCCCTTGGCTTTTAACATTTCTTGAATGTCACTTCTCACCCTTCGCCATGAAATAGGTTGGCACACTTATAAAAAAATTTTATCCAAATGCTATACAACTTTAAAATGTCAAACGTTATGGAAATAGCGTTGCTTCATATATATATATATAACCAACATGATTGGCTCCTGTGGGGATGATTCTGAAGAGGGCCTTTGTGTGTAAATGGGCATTTTGTTTGAATCTCAATGAAAAATGCCAACGATAGATTTAAAAAAATAATAATACATCGTCTGAGAACCACGTTCATTCAGGTTGTGTAAGATTTTAAAAAAATTGGTGGGGGGGAGTGAAGGTGCAGTGATGTTATTTCTAGAACTTAATAACGCAATATCGCCAAACAATGTATCTGATTTATCGTTACTCCGCTTGTAAATCTAGCCACCTGCATTTGCATTCTGGTCGTGGCTAACATCAACGGTGAGTGATGTTTGAACCGGCCCCTGGCCACCCCACTCACCAAATGCAACCTCCACTTGGCCAGCATGGTGAAGACTGGTCAAAACAACCCCCATGGGTGATACATCATGGGGAGGCCTTCATCCAACAGTGGATTGACAAAGAGCTTCGAATTATTATATTATTTGCATGAAATCATTAACGCCACAATGATTTACAGCATTAATTTCATCGTACTGCTATACGGTCGGCTACGTACGGTGCCAAACAAGTTCATCATATCACAGTTGTCCTCCCGTTCGATATCCTGGAGCACTTTTAAGGACGAAAACCCATTTTGAAATTCCGATTGAGCGTGTGGCTAAGCTCGATCATCCCTTGCTCTGTGTGTGAATAAGCGTAATTATAACCTCGCATTGTATGGATTACGTGGGGGGGGGGGGGGGGGGGGGGGGGGCGGGGGGGTTCTTCAAATCTGACAAGTAAGAAGTTAATGTGCAATGCAACAGAGCAGCTGAAAAGTACTTAAACGCATGTCCAGACATACATTTTGGCCACTGTCATAATTCGACGATAATAATGTTGTATTGACCAGGAAAAGCCCAATTGAGATGTTAACACCTTTTCAGAGGCGACATGACCACACATGATAGTTCGTCATTAGGCGTGGCAATGTATAGCAGCCAAATAATCCGAAACGCACGTTTCTAAATGTGGAGGGCAAACGCGGAGGAGCTGGATAATAATCAAAGTGATCACCACGGGGAGAGAACACTCAAACTCCAAATATACAACAGACATTACAAAGGCTCAGTTCCAGCAGCCGTACTGACCATCTCACAACAACTCCTCTCCCGGGCCTATCCGGGCTCCTCCCCCCTTAACTAGTATATAAGGTTGTGTCTCTTGGGACTTTTCTTTACTTGATACAGCAATTTTGCTGTGACGGTTTCACCTGAAGACGGAAGCTTGTGTTGCCTCCGAATCGTCGTGATTTAATTTATTTGTTTTCTTTTAACCTACGTGACTTTACCGAAAAAAAAGAGTATGAATCCTTGCAGTCACAAAAGCTTCAAATCTAGAATTAGGCATCGTCAGGTTCAGGATTGAACTCACGGCCTCTTGCGTACCAGGCGAGAGAGATAACATGTCGTACAGCGAAACATCAATGTGAAGTTCCTCTCCATATACTGCACTCTAAGCTCGTGGCCAAACACTTCTACATTAAAACTTGATTTTGAGCTTTCGTGACTGCAGGAATTACTCTTTGGTTATTTCGGTAAAGTCACGTAGAAATAAAAATAATAGCATGCGACGTTTCCATTGCAACACAAGCAATCATCATCAGGTACAAATGAAAGAGAAAACAAACTTAGTAAAGTCACGCATAAGGGCAATAATAAAAATATAAAACGATAAAAAATTATCACGACGTTTCGACTGCAACACAAGCAATTATCATCAGGTGTGAAATCCACAGCAAGAAAATTTGAAAAAAGTGGCGGTTTCTTTCTAAACTTTTCACACCTGACGATGATTGCTTGTGTTGCAGTCGAAACGTCGTGAGTATTTTATTGTTTTATATTTTTATTATTTAATTTTTTCCCTTCTATGTGACTTTACCGAAAGAACCAAGAATATGAATCCCTGCAGTCACGAAAGCTTTAAATCAAAATTTTGATTCATATTCTTGGTTCTTTCGGTAAAGTTTCCCTTCTACGTGACTTTACCGAAATAACCAAGAATATGGAACCTAGTAAACTTAGAAAGATAATGCAATGCAACACAGAGAGTCGGCTAACATAACAGTCAACACCCTACCTGGTTGATTACGTTCTTCCAAAGATTTCTAAATTTGAGAGAGAGACAAAACACAGACACGGAGACACTGCTTACGTGTCTGTCTATGCGTCTCCGTGTCTGTGTTTTGTCTCTCTCTCAAATTTAGAAATCTTTGTAAGAACGTAATCAACCAGGTAGGGTGTTGACTGTTGTGTTAGCCGACTCTCTGTGTTGTATTGCATTATATTTCTAAGTTTACTAGGTTTGTTTTCTCTTTCATTTGTACCTGATGATGATTGCTTGTGTTGCAATCGAAACGTCGCATGCTATGATTCTATTTATTTATTTATTATACGTGACTTTACCGAAAGAACCAAAGAGCACTTCTACATTAGCTGAGCATATTTTGGGGAGAGTTAGCTTTGTTATACTTCCTTTCACCTCTGCCATCTGTGCTGTGGATTTCCTGCCCCTGTTCAAGTCCCAGGCACAACAACTATTTTTTTTCCTTTACATATGACTGCGTGCCCTCTCCCTGAAGAATAAATATGCCCAATGTTCCTAGAAAGCATCTTTCAGGAGCAATTGCATTTAGACGCAATGTAAATCCATATTTCATTCCATTGTATTAGCGTTTTATCAAATCGTCAGTGTAGAGTTGATATCGCTGAGGTCATGGGTTTGCATCGTGACCTCTTGCGTAACGTGGCAATTTATGTTGGGCTGGTGACCCACAGGCCAACGCAAATATTCCATCTCTAAACCTTGATTCTGTACATAATTCATCTAGTAAATAAATCCATATTTGTGCCAACCAGATGCTGTACAAGGTGAGTTTCTCACCAATATACAACTTCCTCCTTCAACAGGACACAGCAGCAGACACTCAGCATCAAAATAACTCGTGAAATTAACAACTGAGACAGGACAGAATTGTAAAAGAAAATGCTAAGAAAACGATTTGCTGAATTCACTAAAAGTTGAATGAATGGAAGTGTGAAGATAAGCTTTAAGACGGGGCATTACAAATGCCCACAGGATCGGAGGTCCTGGTAACTCGTGGGAGAAAGTTCCAGAGCCTGGGGCGTACACGAGAAAAACGTTCAACTGAACCTGGATGTCAATCCCCATAGCCCGTCCACTCAGCAGTACAAAAGGTTACACCGCAGATATTCGATCGGCAGACCCACGCGTGGTGGTGTGAAGTGTGCGCACGGTCACCCCTTCCAAGATGTCTGGCCAGCGTGGAAGAGTAGGCCAAATACCATCCCTCCAGTAGAGGCCCGTTCAGCAGCAGCAGTGGCGTGAGCAAGCAGTTATAGAGCTGCTCCTTTACCATGATAAGAGGTGCGGTGCAGGACTCTGTGCATGGATGCCGATGAAACAGTTTGAGACATCGCTGACGAAACGAATGACAAAGGGTTTGATATAAATGACTCAACTTGACGTTGGTTAACGTGAGACTTGTGTTCGCATTTGCAGACGCTGGCATGGGCACACTCAACCTCACTTTGTTGGAAGTCGTGCGGAGGTCGCAAGGATCCAAGGGAAAATCTGCTTACAACCAGGTACAACAAAAACGTCGCGGAAGCCATGGCAATACCGAGTATTCGTAGCTCTCTTTAGACGTGCTTTCGGGTCCCACCACGTGTCGCTCGGCACGATGTCCGACGTTTCGCTCCACGTGCTGGGAGCCACTTCAGGAAGTGAAAAGACGCTCGCAGGAAGCAGGGTCTCCACGAGACGACCGTGTGTGTGGCGACACGTCGGAACACCGTGCCGAGTGGCGTGTGGCACAAACGGAATCCATGTCGGAGCGCAATAGAGCAGAGCCGCCAAAGCCTACGCAGGTATCCAGTGTCTGCATTGTTAAGGTGAAATGTATAAATGGGGCAAAAGTTTGTCTTTTCTCTACGAGCCTTGAATGCATGTGTGCACCATGGGAAATTGGCTAAAGAACTTCACCTTTGCCTCCTGTAGGCAAAGGTGGACGGATGTACAATGACTTTCATCCAGCGGTGGCCTGACTAAAGGGCCGTGTATTAGTCATCCAAAATAACTTTTTATTATCTTTTTAATTTATTCTGTCACACAATTGATGGTGGTTAGGTAAAAAAAAAAATCTCACTTGACACGATTCACTCGTAGGCAGCGGATATATGTATGCATCACTTGTGCTGATTTTATGTCACGCTCACAAAATAAACGTTCATTATTAACACAGACTAACAATAACAACTACCGTATATTCTCCAAATTATACGCACATTTTTTTACCCCCTTGTATTTTAAAGTAACATTTTAGGTAGGGCTAGGAGGAGGGGGTGGGGGAGGTAGGAAATCTTCTCACCCGGTAACTGTATTTGTGGGCAGACTTGCATAACATTGTTGACACCGGGAACACGTTTTTGAGCTGTGTCTAACATGTCATAATACAGAGGATACGGTGCCGTTGAGAGCCTATGACTGTGCAACTGCGCCGATGCATGTGGGCCTTTGTCTCTACAGCAACTGAATGCTTTGGAAGTGAGGGTGGACAAGGTTCAGTTGACGGCAGCAGGGGGCTCCAACTTCTCCTTGTGCATTGACCGTGATGACAAAAAGGTGTTCCGCAACATCACAAGGTAAAGGGGAAGTTCACCATCATCATTATAAGGTCGCACTCATTATACACGCAAAGCACTCGCCACAAATGAACCACAATACATTGCTGAGCTCATCAAGGAGCATAAACCATCACACGAACAACCGGTCATCCTTGCAGCAGCGGCTTTTGGCTAACCATCGAACAACGACGGTCACCGTATCGTGCGCTTTTACATGCGATTCTGCGGCCGTCTGGAACGCTCTGCCTTCCGATATTAGGAAGCCACTGGAGCTATGCATTTTACATTTAGATTGAACACTAATTTCTTTAGAACTGCTCTTTTTGTTTGGTTTATGTCCATCCCCGCACCTCCGATTATCACTGTTGGCTGTGTATGGTGCGAAAGAAGTTCAACATACATATGTGTCGGCGATCATCGCCCCTCTACTGGCAGGCTTATGCTGCTCGTTTGTCAGGTTGGGTTGCTGAGTCAGAGCCCCGTGCCGCATATTGATAGCTGCCAAGTGGGGGTGAGGTGGGGGGTGCCCTTCAAACGTGTTTGAGATGCAAACGTGAGATGCAAAGCCAATTCTTTACGTGTTATCTTTTTATTTAGTACTCGTTTTTATTATGCTATTCGTTGCACACGGTTGCAGTTTACTTTGTTCAGTTAATGTTGGCCGCTGAGGTCATGACAGATTTCTCTTCCATTCTTGTTACTCCATGTCCCCTGTACCGCTCCCGGTTCTGCTGTAATGGTGCACTGATACCTACTCTATTGAGGGCGATATTGGCACAATAAATAAAAATGTGTTAATTGATTGATGACTGATCGCACCTCCTGCCTTTGACATTTCTCGAAGACACTGTGTAACCATCAACTGCATCAGAGCATCGGCAGGCCGATGCTCACCTCTCCTTGATAAATGTAAAATTAAAGACATAGCCACGGCAGTGCGGTTGTGGCCACGCAACCCAAGCTACGGACCACATAGCGAACCACCCTAGTCTGCAACCCTTCAACGGAGGAGGAACAGAAACACTGCACGAAATCTCTCCCGAAGCCCTCTCGTCCTGACTAGCACAGACCTCGACATTGGCATTTAGCTTCTCCTGGACCTCCCAGCACGTGGAGCAAAACGTCGGGCAGCGTGCGGAAGTACACACGGCACAACCCGAAAACACATGGGAGAGCTATGTAGTGGCACAACCGTGAAAACCTACGCGTGTTATATTTAACGGTTGTTGTTTTTTTTCGTGAGACCTTTGCTGACCAAGCTGAGACCATAAACTCGCTACACTTGAGAACCCAGTTTAATCGCGGGGGGCGGGGAGGTGAGGGGGTTTGCTTCTGAACTCCTGGATCTTAGCAGTTCCAGCTCAGCGCTCTCAACGCAGGATTCGGTCACTGAGCCACCTGGCCAAATTTAATCTCCAATGATGCCACAACCTTAAACTTTTTGTCTACAAATTATAAACAGATGTTCAAAATAACTTTTTTTTTAAATGTCCATTTATCTTACCCATAAATATAGGTTTGTCTTGGATGAGAAGCAGGTCTTTTAATTGGTGTTAAAGTGGGCTTCATATTGGCTAATGATAGGGTTTTTCTCCTTTTTTTCACATTGGCTGCTGAGTTAGATTTTTGTCAGAAATGTTCCATTGCTGAATTTTACGTTTGTTTGTTTTTTCACATGGATTTATAATATTAAATGTTTCATGGAATTCTTTACTTCATATTACATCACTGGTCTTGAAGTAAAACTATTTTTTTTATTATCCAGCCAGCATATTAGAACATTCAAACTTAAATTTTTGTTGCCGCTTTACGTGCCGGTTAATAATTTCGAGAACACAAGTCATCTTTGACCATTCAGTGGAGAGTCAATCCAGCCCTTCTTATGGAATGCCAAACGTGACTCGTGCGGAGAGAAAACGCCCCTCTTAATATTTCACGTCCGTCTCGCCAAGAACCTTCTTCCAACGCCATCGAGCGTCGCGTAAGCGTTTTGGACTTTGAATGTGCGCTCCATCGCTGTTCGTTGTCCCCGTGTCTCACTTGTTGCCCCGTGCCTTGCCGCCTGCGCTTGCAGGTGCGAAGTCAGACCCTGCTGCCAAGTGAACGCCCCGGCCCACGGTGCCCTGGCCGGTGTCTCCCATCTGGCACGACCGACTCAGCCACCCAATTGCGAGCCCTTTTGTCTGCCAATATCTCTCTTCTGCAGCCCGGCTCTGTAGCCCTGCTCTGCCTCGGGTGTTCAGGCCAGCAGGGACAGGACGTGTCAGAGACATTACAACAGAGGATGAAGAGTGTCATTTGGTTGTCATGCGCACATTTTTTTGCTCGGTTAACACGTCACGCACGTGAACGTTTGAAGGGCCGCATGTGCCTGCACATCCCTGTGTTCGTCAGCTGCTGGACGAGAGGCTCCCCACTCCGAGTGGCCCATGGGGATTTTTTTTCTTCTTACCATACTTCGCCATGCTCGTGGCCAAAGGCAGGGAGCGTAGAAAGTACGGTACGACAACATTTTTTTTTTGCACCGGCATATGCTACCCACAACAAAGCCCCCGCAGCCTTCAGTGACTGTTACAAACGGTGGTCGGCTGTCCGAGCTTGATTGTGGCTCAAAGCAGCTTAGCTTCTGGGATCTTGATGATATCGATGCATCGCAGTTGATATGGTAAAATGCAACAAAAAAAACATGCAGTATTATGTTGTATGTAGACAAAGTAGGAATTAAATTCCAGAATATGGCAGCCTCGGCCTTTAATTGCAATACCAATTAAATATACCTCTAAAAACTGAATTGTATAAAGATGGGTAGCACACAAGCTTATTAATATCAGTGATTACAAAAATAATGTAGACTCTCAATGGGTCCTCACCTGATTTATAAAAAAGGGGCACTTCAATTAAATTACATCGGGCTTTCCCACTTGCTCGCTTAGTTGGCACAAGCGGTTACAGAGAGCTGACTGGTGATGTACAGGGTGCTTCAAAAAAATTTTAACACTCCCTAGAATTTGCAACTATACCACAAGAAATGTACCTCCGGGCTCTGGAGACCAGCTGGAGAAGATTTCAGGCACGTGTTGACAATGATGGCGAACATACATTTGTTATCACGTGACAGTGTATCATCTGTTCTTTTTCCATTCATAACGATAGTCCCATGTAAGTGTTTAAAACATTTTGAAGCATTCTGGCGAATTGCCCGATGATGCTGGATGCAATTACCAGCGAAACGTCGTACTCAAATTGTAAATGTTGTGGTTTCACGCTTCAACACACCGGTGGGCTAAAGCAGTGAACTATTTGTCCTTTGTCAACGTGACACTTTTTTACTGATTGGCCGTGTCGGGCGGTGGAGGGTTACGACACATTTATAAATAACGTGATCTAAACCCAAAAACGATGATTATGAACACCCTGTATCTTGTTGGCTCACAATGAATTGGCCACCAATGCCTCTGTCGCCAACAAGTGGCCGTGTCCGATGTGTGACGGCGTCGTTCCAAACGGGGCGCGTCGAACAAAGTCCGAGGCGAGAACGTTTCTGCTACTGAAGAGAGCGAAAGCACGGAGATTGTTTTATTCGCGGACACAATGCGCAATAGCGTCTTGATGTGTAAGTCTGTTTATAAAATGACAACCAATTTAGTTGTGAATGGGGCATTTCCATCAGAAGTTCAAGGCTCAAATTAGAACAGCCATACTCTCGTACAGAGAAAATAACTTGGACTTTTATTTGCCCTTAAATCCTATCGGAGCACAGTTACGCGATTGAGAAATGTTTGCAGTGAAGTGACATGTATAGTGCATGCAACTCAATCATGAGGTTACGGTTTACTTAAATGGGAACCAACGTCGTTCTGCAGAGAGGTTGCTTCAGTAGGTCTCTGAAAGTGAATGTCAATTCCTCTCCTTTCTCTCTGCACTGTAAGAAAGAAGAAAAATACTCAAAGAAAATGTTCCTTAATATTTTATTCACATGTCGTTCCATTTAAATATACTTTAATTCTGATTTTTGATCATTTACTTAATTGTCCAGGAAAGTCACACTGAGTTGTATTTTAAGTTGTTTTCAGCCAATGATTGAGTGTTTATGATACACGTGGGAGGAAATTGAAGCACCTGGAGAAACCCATGCATGCGAGGGGGCAACGCTCTATCCCCGCACAAATGTAAACAGATGGTGATTAGTCCACTTGCTGTACTGCCTTCTCCTGGTGAGCCAGGGTACGGCAGGGAGCAACGCTCTATCCCCGCACAAATGCAAACAGATGGTGATTAGTCCACTTGCTGTACTGCCTTCTCCTGGTGAGCCGGGGTATGGCACCTCTTTGATGCCCACGGGAAGATAGTATCACAACATTTGTGCGATCCACCAACCCTCCCTCACTGCCTCCACAAGTGCTGGGTTACAGACCATATGGATAGCCACCACCGCATCATGAGATACAGTTTTTGCACGCAGACACTTTATAAATCCAAATCGTGTTGTATAATTGCACATCCTCAGCCATTTCTTCAGTAGCCATTGCTAAATCGAAGGGTCCTCATGTTATTGTGCCATCGTCCACTCACGTGTGCAGTTACGTATAGCTCATCCTTTTATCCTCATCTTCATTTCATATGTATACGCACTCTCTGCAAACATGCAGTCTAGTAAGGCATTGCATACTGCAGTATACAGTATTACAGTGTATAGATTTGACTATAACAGCATGGGGCAAATCCCCAATGCTTCACCCGCGATTGTTATCGCCCTACTTAAATGCAACTTTCCATTGCACTGGCTGTAGAAGAAATTCTCATCAGCAAACCAGCTTCGCCGCCGTCGAGAGGCTTGCGCTGGAGGCCAAATTGACGGTTAAATCATTTCATCACCGTAGTCACCTATACCCCGCAGTTTTCGCACCTAGCCTGGCGTTTTACTGAGCCTGATGAGTGGGTGGCAGCCTCATTCTCTCCTCTTGAACGCAGAGAGAGTCATGGGGGGGGGGGGGGGGGGGGGACGCGGCACGGCAGTACCGCGCTCGTCTCTCGTTGCAAAGGTATTCCACAGTTTGATTTCGGCAGCCACCCTAATAATTGACTGCGTTGTGTATTTACGACTTGAAAAAAATATCACGTGCCATCTGCTTCAAGAGTAAGGCCATCGTGTGTCGGCGTCACGGTTCAAATTCGCCAAGTAAAAAGTAAAGTCCCCGCAAAATTACTCACTTGGGAATGTGTACACGTCAATAATCATCGTCCCACCACTGCGGACATTTCGCAGGGCCCTCCGGAAAAAGTCAGACTCTGTCAAACTTTCCTGAGTGAATTAAATGTGAGACATGATTTTTTGACACGGAAATTGGCCTGTGAGAATGTGGAGACATCTACGATTGACTTTTCTCACTTCAAGAGACTTATTCTGTCAGTCACATTTTGCAGAGGGGGTAAATTCAGAGAGCAGTGACTTTAGCACATGAGGAATATATTACCACTGTGTAGGTGTTCACGGTTGTGCTTGTGTATGGCTGGTCAACGCCTTTTCGGCTTGTACCACGCAGTTGTTCGGCGCGCTGTCCGGCGTTTCATTGTTTTTGTGCTTAGGGCGAATTCAGTTTATGCACAGTAGCTCCCACCAGTGTTCCAGCGCATTGGGAGCGAAATGTCGGACAATCCTGCCAATCAACTCCCTGCCGCACAATCTAAAATTCAGATCGGAGACTAAATATCACCCTTGGGATGATGTATACGTGGCAATGAACCACGTGGGCGAGCGCACTTTGACGTCTGTAGCAATATGCCACTTTGAGTAGAGTCATGGGGAATTCGTATTCAGTGCGGTAAATACAGAGGCCCCCGTTGCTAGTAATTAACGGTACAATTCTCAATATACTGATGTGTTTAAGAATTAGACAATACCACGTATACTGTAATGTTCTCAAACGCTGATCGGTTTTGCTTAACTTTTACACGTGTATGTTATGTTGTTCATAACATCGCATACACAAGCCTTAAATAACGATATTGTTTAAATGAGTGATGTAATATATATATGTATCGGAAATGGTCAATGAAGACACGTGCTGACAATTTGTATTTAATTTTTAAAACTTTTATTTCGGTTTCGTATTTAAACTTTGCACAAGTATTTTATGTTTATGGTTGGCTGTGTACGGTGCGAAAGAAGTTCAACATACATAGATACATTACTTCGTCGTAATATATTTTTTACATTTTGTACCGTTAATGTTTTTTTGATAAGATCTGCACTGAGATGTGTTACTGTACTTTGGTTATAACCCAGGTCTCCCTCGCAAGAAATTTTCCTTCCAAAGGGCTCTCACCTTGTTATAACGTTCATATATATAGTACTTGTTCGTGTGTGTATATATATAAATTACTCGTGTTTAAAATCTTCATTAATTTAAATAAAGGTGTAAGTAACCCAGAAACCTTGAACGTCTGTTATTTTTACGAATGCATGTCGGTTTAACACGTAGGCTTTAACACCGAAACAGGAGGATTTCTCCACAACCCTGGCTGTTGCCTGATGATGCTAGTTGCAATTACAGGCGTAACGTCGTACTCAAATTGTAAATGGCGTGGGTTAACTCTCCAACACATCGGTGTTCTGTACTGGTAACGAATTGGATGTTCTGGTTTTGTGACAAACCTTACTAATTGGCGTGTTTAACGACGCGTTTATATTTAACTAAAAAAAAACCTCTACTATGGAACTGCACATGCGTTCCGCGCTTGTCCTCTGCAGCTCGACGGTGTCTTTACGAGTCGCGCTGTTGCTCGGCACGATGCCCGGACGTTTGTCTCTGCTCCCGGTCGCGCGGAGCGAAACTTGGCGAGAGGAGAGCGCGGATCGTGGCTAACAGCCCCAGACAACACTCCAGAGAGGCGTCACGTGGTATGTGCAGCGCTTCCAAGTTGTTTGATTGGCGTTTGGAGCTTTTGTTCATGGGGGGGGGGGGGTTGGGGGTGGAGTAATTTTCGTGTGTGAAATGCGTTTCAGGCACACTAGCCATGGCGTCATGGATACCCTGGAGTTCTTTCACCTAGCGGTTTTTTTTGGGTTGAGATCGCGTACATATAAAGGTTTTGTTAAACCTGCCACCACCCACCACAGCCAATTCGTAAAGTTCGTCACGTAAACAAAACGTGCCAATTAGTTACTAGTTCAGCACAGTGGCGGCTCCTGCAAAATCTCTCAGGGGGGGCAAATGTCTGGATGATTGATAAGGATAAGGTCCACCCATGCAATGAATAAATTAACAGCTTAAGCATGTAAAGGCAACTTCACTTCTTTAATATTAATGAAAAATAAAGTGACTCTTACAATACATCTTGTTTGTTTATATACTCACTATTAAAACAAACCACTCAAGTTTATTTTATTAAAGATTCCACTAGGTAGCGATAAATTATATTGTTGGATGTAACGTGCTTACGTATGATGACGTTAGCACGTATGATGACGTAAGCACGTTAGTGCATGCCCTCCCGGAAGCCATAGAGAATGCATTGGAGCGCCCCCGTTCGAAAAAAAACATCTTTGAATGTAAGTCTATGGGGCCACTCGGGGCGATTCTCAGCCGTAGTGAAATCGCCCCAAAAGAGGCGGTACTCCACAGAACGTGACATGACGCTGATTGGACTATATCCAGAGGCTGACAGTGACGGCTAGCGTGACTCTGTGGTTGAATGACATTGGTGGTGCGTCGCCCAATCGCCCTAATGAAGAAACCGCCCCTGGTTCAGCACCACCGGTGTGTTGGAGAGTAAACCCACAACATTTACAATTGGAGCACTGTGACGTTTCGCCGGTAATTACAACCAGGATCATCAGGCCGACAGCCAGAGTTGTGGAGAAATCCTCCTCCTGTTTCGGTCTAAAATAGAGTGATAGATGTGAAGTCGGCACTTATCCTATCAGCTGCAAAGACCGGGATGGGGGGAGGGTAATGTATTAATATATGGTTAAATTATTCACAGTTAATCAACATGCATAGGGTATGCCCGTTACCAAAATAGGCATTGGATGGTGATGAAGAGTGTATGTCCACTCTGCCGCTCGCAGTTAATCACCATTGACGTATGGTGGTGACCTGCACAGGCATGCAGTTGCACGGTGTATTACAGCACTTGATAATATGCTTCGTTAGCCGCATGCTAGAAGCCATCCTTATGGGAGGGAATTAGAAAGCTAAATCGAAGGAACATCGTCCGGTAGGTGGAAGCCAGTGGGGAAGTGACAGGATTGATTTTTTTTCTGTATTATTTACAAAAGCAAATTCATTTGAACTGGCTCCTTGCCGCGGATCGATTTTGCATTCACGAGTAAACAATTATCAGCCAGGCTTTTATTGTTGGTTCTTCCTTTAATGTCAGTCTGTCGCTGACCATTACCTCCGGCGTGCAGCTGAGGGGCCATCCATTAAGTAGGTACGCAAAAATCGGTCAAATGTTGACCCATGACGCACCCCCCCCCCCCGAATCCTACAGAACGGCCAATATTTAATCCACGCGACCGCTTGTGTTGCGATCGAAACGTCGTAGTTTTTTTGTTATTTTTCTTTGAACCTATCTACGTGACTTTACCGAAAGACGCGGGGGGTGGGAATGGTGTTGCTCTTCTGCAAGTCCTGAAGAGAACATGGCAAGGTGAGTGTTGTGGATAGGATTGGATAAAAAAATATAAAAAAAACATTGCACCGTTGGGAGGCCTGTGCAGGATGGAGGGGGGCCGGTTACCGAGATAGGCATTGGAGTGGTCCCTACGAGTCTGGCAAACCGTGGTGATGATTGAAATCCAGAGGTCAGCTCTTGGGGGTCCCACGTCTCCTGTGCTGCAGCTGTGGGATAAATGGCACAAGGAGAAAATGTGCCGGTGAGAAGCGGGTGGCATCAAGGGTTTTGACCTTCGTGATGCCTTGGATCTTGATGCGATTTGCAATGGTGAAACACTCCGTTTTCCTCTCTCCAATGTAGTCGACCCCGCTAATTTTGAACGCCACTACCAAGGACAGTATAACGAGAACATGATGGGAGAGATTTGGGGGCTGAATCGTGATAGTGGTTTACAGTATAATCGTAAATCTCGAAAAACTACTCTCTTCTAAATATTTAGTAGTGATTTTTTTTATTACTTTAGTATAAATACATGTTAATTTTGATTCATATTTTGTTTCTTCTGACTTTATGTGAACGATAAGACACAAATTCGCCCGTTTTCTCATTGAAAATAGGTACATTTCCAAATATCACTGTCCTGGTCACAAAAGCAAAGTTTTTGGGGAATAATAGCCATTTTCTATACTTTTTAGGCATAACCAATTACTAAATAACACTTACTACCCAGGAACAAAAATTGTGTTACATCGTGTAAGCAATGCCTCTCGCCGCTCAAAGGCAACGGAGAGGCAACACTCGTCTCCGCAGGTGGCTCTGAGCCGGTGATGCAAATTTAGCATTGCGATGACAAGGAGGTGAATCTCCCCGCGTGATGACCACTGTTGACCTCACACAAAGCGGTACTCACTTTATTGATCAGAGGGGGGGGGGGGGGATGATTGTCCTGGTTGACTCCGACCAACGTTTGAATTCACAATGTTCAATCATCGTGTAAATGCCCCCCCGCCGTTACGGGAGCCTCAGTTGCACGGGAGATGGATGATGAAATACAAGCATCGGTGCAAAAAGTAGTGCTCACAGTGCAAAGGGCGTACTGTTATCTGTGTCGTACTGATCTCCTGAAACATGCGTGGCCACCATTCTTTACCGTGACCCAAGAACCAACGAGGAGTACACGGCGAGTACTACAAAATAATCCCATTTAATAAAAAATTTATATTCGTTTTTCCATAGGATCCGATTTGTCTTGGAGAGCAGGCAAAATATTTGAGTGGCAGAATAGCTGGACTATCACTACCTCACTGCCATCTGTGAGTTTGCAAAGCGAATGATGTTATGATGTTGAGCAAATAAG